AGTCAGGCGTAAAAAGCTCAGAGGGACTGGCCCAAGGAGGCATTCGGACAACGGCCGTGGGTTACCTCTGGGGGGGGGTCTGTCTTTCTAGGCAGGGGCTGTACCTGGAGGGTTGTGCCCTGAGCAAGCAGGGAGGGGAGGCAGGTGAGGGAGAGGAAGCGCAAGAGGGGGCCGGCTGGGACTACCTGGAGCCCGTAGTCGATCTCTTTTCTGTCGAATTCGTAACTCACAACCGAGGCTTCACCACGCAGCAGGATTTCATAGGTGGGGCCCCCTTCCACTTCGCAGAGGGCTTTCACGCAGGCCACGATGTCGGGGTGGCCATAGAACGTGAAGGACATTTTCAGAGTCTCCTTAGGCTGCAGGATGCCAAACAGCGGGAAGATGTCAAATACCTGTCGGGTTGGGAGAGGGAGAGGGTAAGTCCACAAGGCACCCCGCCCTGAGGACCTACGCCATGGCCCCTTGCTCTGGCGTGAGGGCCCGGCCTTGCCTGCCATGCTCTCCCAGCCTGCTGCCAGCCTGGGATGCCCCTGACCCTGCATCTCCTCTCCTGCCAGCGGCAGCCACTGCCCGCCTGCCCCCCAGGCAGGAGCAGAGAGGAGGAAGAGGGAGAGCCCGAGCCAGGACTCACACAAAGCAGTCCCCGGGAGCGTCTTGCCCCAGGCCTCTCAGGAACCAGCCGCCATCTTCCAAGTCTGCTTCCTGATAAAACACGCTGGTCTTCAATGGGCCCCCAGACCCTTCCTCGGTTTTTCTGCTTGAACCGATCCAATGCACGCGAGGCAGTTTGGCTGCTGTGGCTCCACCCAGGCCACCCACCCAGGGCTCCAGGAGGTGCACCCCCTGCTCACCTCTTCCACGCCTATCGAACGCTGCTCTTCTGGTTCTGTGCACCAGAGCAGGTCCTTTGTCTCTGCCTGGGCCTTCTTTGGAAGCCCCTCTTCCTTTTCCTCTTCCTTTTCCTCTTCCTTTTCCTCTTCCTTTTCCTCGTCCTCAGCCAAAGAGGGCTAGAAAGAACAACCACACAGGGATGCTGAGGGCCAGCTCCACATCCTTCGCTTCCTCCCTTGTCCCTCTAGGGATGCATATCCTTCAGTGCCAAGTGCCTGAGACACTTGCAAGGAGGCAGAATGTCTGGCCAGGCAAAGTCATGACAGTAACACCTGTGGGGCAGCCCTGCTGGAGACCCAGTCAGTTCCCAGGAGTGGGTTTTATTTCCCTTGCACCCCGGGGACAAGGCCAAGGAGGGGCCCCACCCCTGCCTACCACTACCTGGCAGGCTCCTCTGGAGACCCAGTCAGTTCCCAGGAGTGGGTTCTATTTCCCTTGCACCCTGGGGACAAGACCTAGGAGGGGCCCCACCCCCACCCCCGCCTACCACTACCTGTGCCCGGGTGCTTGGGCAACGCTGCCTGTAGAGGCCGGCGGTCGTTACCTTTGCTTTTGAGCCCCGTCCTGCAGGAGCATCCAAGGGTTCTGTCAGTGACTCTTCTTGGCCATTTGCACCACTGTCATCATCTTCTACAGCTGCTTCCCTGGAGTTATAAGATGGGGACAGAAATGCCGGCAGGAGTCAGTACTCAGAATATTCAGGCTTGAGTTCAGTGTCTCTGCTGAGGGGCCAGATCTCGATCTCAATCTCTCTCTCTCTTTTTCACTGTTTTTATTGATCTCATCCAAGATTCTGTGAACAGCAAAAGCATCCATGGATTATTGGCCTCCAATTAGGTACTTAAAACGTCACCATCATTGACATGGAATGTACTTAACAGCTAATATAACTGCCTAACAACTGATCAGAGAGAGAGAGATCAGGCTCCATTCTGCCTCCATGACCAGAATGCCCACAGAAATCTCTGGACGAAAGGAGGGGCTCCTCGGGGAGCCCCAGGGCAAGCAGGCCGGCCCTGCCTGGGGGGGGGGAGCCGGTGGTTCCTGTACAAACCTCACAGAATCCTTGCTCTCACTGGGACCCGGCGGCCTTTCTTCGGCTCCTTCCTCCTCTACAACAGGCTGGGCGCCCCTGGGGCTGAACCTGAAAGAGCCAATGCCTTTTGCTAAGGGAGGAGGGCCAGAGCTGGCAGACTCGTCAGACCCCCCTCCCCCCGGGGCCGCCCTTGTGTTCAGCTGCACGAGGGAGGAGGGCAGAAAGAGGCTCCTCTGGTGCCCTCGGGGCATTTCCCCAGAGAGGCAGAGGATCCCATAGAAGCTTGCCAAGGAGGTGGGGGGGGGTCAGGTAGGCAGGAACAAGACCACCAAGGAGGACGATTCCTGAGAGCCGAGGAGCCTCCATTGCTTCCTTCCTTGGCTGCCAGGCGGAGAGAGACCGAACCATTCCCCTGCTTTTAACCGCGGTGGCAGCAGGATGGTGGGCCGGCAAACGGGGCCCCTGAGCCAAGCAGAAGAACAGGGAGCCCCAGCAGCCCTTCCTGTCTCATCCCAGGGCAAACCTGACCTCCTCCTCCTGCCAGCCCATGCCTTCCCTCGCTTCCTTCAGCCTTCGGCCAGGGAGGGGAAAAAAGAGGCTGCTGGCACACCACTGGTCAGCAACTCCTGCTCAGGGCTCCTGGGTTTTAACTTGAACCGGATTTCCATCTCTTTGGCTGGCTTTGCCCTCACTTGCTGTGATATCCTGGCTGCATCTGTGGCTGGCTTTGCCCTCACTTGCTGTGAAATCCTGGCTGCATCTGGATTTGTGTCTGTGTGTGTGTGTGTGTGTGTGTGTGTGTTTGTGTGTGTGTGTGTGCGTGCGTGCATGCACATTTCCTTTCTGTTTCTCATAAGAGGTCTCAGGCATCACAACAGCAGCAGCAGCAACAGCCATAACAGCTCTTCTCCTCAGCAAAAACAGAGAGTGCATGTGAACACCATATGTTTTTGTGCAGGATGGCTCCGAGGGCAACTGCCAAGACTACACAATAATCACTGGCAGTGAGAGGACGCATCTTTTAAAAACAGCATCTCTGCTCCAGTGTCACAGAGCTGGCATGCAGAGTTCTTTCCAAAAAGAGAAAGAACGTCAGCTGGAAAGGGACCAGCAATCATTACTCCATGGCCGCATGTGAAATCAACTGGCAGACAGAGAGAAAGGGAGCACGTGCCCATGGAAATTCCACCAGACAGAAACAGAAGTGGAAACGGTTGGCAGGAATTTCTGTATTGACCAGTCTGGCTGGGCCACCCAGAGCAGGCATGACCCCAGCATCTGAAACCAAAGACTCATCAACCGCCAATACAGCAACAGCCCGCTGGCAACACAGACGATGCGCTCTCCCACCTTTCCTCCTTCGCCAGTTCACAGGCTTATATAAACAGAATAAAACCAGGTTCAAGGCTCAGCTGGATGCTTGGAACAAGGCAGTATAGGAGGAGAACATCTGCTCCTGCTTCCCCATCTTGGCCAGCTCTGCCCCTCGCTCCCCCCGACTCCCAATGGAACAGGAGCAGATGAAGCCTCCCCAGGTCAGGTCAGGCATGGGTGCTCATCGGTCTCTGGCCCGCCCAATGTGTTAGACCAAAGCCCCTCAAATTCCCGACCATAATCCATACCAGTGGCAGCTGGGGCTTCAGTTTTGGGGCGCTGTGAATTCACTCCAGGTTGTAGCCTGCACTTTACAGAAGCCATCCAATGTGATGAACCTGTTCAAGGAATCCGTTTCAGCACCTTGGACAGCTTCTGTACCAGGCAGACTACGCTGGAGTCACCAGCTTCCACTGGGCTGTTCAAAGCAGGAGGAGCCTGGGAGCTGCAGGGCCAAGTTTCGCCACCTTGATCTACAGATGCCGAGGCTGGGCATGGCTTTCTAGGGTCAGACAAAGGTGGATCTGTCCTGCCACCTGTCACCAGAGCCTTGTTGTCCTTGGAGGGATCACTGTGGCGGATCAAAGGATCGATCCCAACCAGGGTCCCCTGTGTGCAAAGCACACATCACTTCAGTAAGCAAAGAGTCCTCCTTAAGAAAATGCTCCTTATCTAGACCAACAGGCAGAACCTCTTAACTAGACCAACAGACAGCAGGGGTTCGGCTGGATCTCAAGTCCTTTGGGAGGCCAGAGAGCAGCCCCTGACCGGGGAGGAAGAGGTGACGGCCCCTCCTCTGTGACCAGTTCCCTTGCTGAAAGAGGTGGGCTCCTGCGGCTGGCAGCCCTTCCTTCCAGCAGAACCTAAAGAAAGAGGGGGCCCTCAAGGGGCACTCCTGCTACAGCAATGCTGTGGTGGGCTCTCCATGGAGCAGCATAGGAGCATAGGAGCACCTCTGCGATCGCCACCCCATCCCTGCATCCCTATCTCTGCCAGCTTTGTCCCCTCTGCCCCCGGTCATCAAGGATGGGCACATACAGAAGGGGCAGAACTTCTGCAGTGATGCCTTGCTCTCTGGCCCTGAGGTTTTGGAGTCCATTCTGCAGGCTTTGGACCTGAAGCGTCAAGAGGTGGGGTGATGTCAAGCCCTCGCTCTGACGGCACTGAGGCTCAGAAGCACCCTTATCTTTCTCATTGTCTTGCCTGCTCAAGACTGAAACTGAGGTTCTTTATTTGCCCCAGGGGGCAAAAGGAAAAGCGTGGCCAGAGATGACTGGAGGCTATTCACACACCAATCTCTCAATCCCTTATTGCTTCTCTGCCTTGTCCGTTTCCCTCAGGCACTACTTTGCAGTTTCTGCCGATGGGTCTCTGGTGCTCCCCCACACCACATGACCTCCCGAGTCCACCTCCTGCCCCATCAAAAAAGCCTGCACCTAGTTCTCAGGATTTGGTCCCAAAATCTCAAGAAACAGGGTGCTGCTCACCTGGCAAGCTGCTCAGTCTAGCAATCACTGCCTTCCCTCCCACTATATTTCCCAATCAGAGGAGAGTGGCTTGGCTGCAGGGCATGGCATGTGTTTTCTCCAGGGAAGACCTCTCCCCCCACCCCTGCTCTGCACCCAGACATTTGCTTACACCCTCAAGAGGCAAGAGACTGACTCTATATCCAGGAGCCACACTCCCTCAAGCAGCAAAGAAAGAGAAGCATGATTGTGAAAGGTTGATAAGGGCAGAGCCATGCCTGTAATGGGAATCGCCTTTGGAAAGCAAAAGCCGACTTCTTCTGCAGGCCTCATCATAGAGAGAAGCCTAACAAAGTAGACAAAGTGTTGCTTGGGAAAAAAAAAAAACGTATCAGGGGGAAATGCATTTTTCTGAACATATATTTTAGCTCTCGGTCTCCTCTTCTCCTGCCCAAAGTGAAAAGAAGAGCCGATGTGGTTGTAAATCCAGAGCTCGTTCTTTGTTCTTGGCACTCAGATAATTTGCCTTGGCATGTGAGAAGCAGAGCCTGGGGCTCTGGCTGCCCATTGTTTCATCTGAAATGAAATAAGCTACCGGCCATCAACTCATCATGTTGCTTTCCTGAGATGGGTAAAACAAACAGGACAGAAGACGGGGCTCCAGTGATACGTCTGTGCTAGCATGTTCACTTGATCACATCGTCTTCTTTTCCTCGTTACTGCCATTCCCTCTGGATAGATCGAGGAGCCCATGATAGCACTTTATGGACAACAAACCTCCTGGCCTCAAGGAAGAGAAAGCCAGCTCTAACACAGACAATAACATCCATCGACAGCAGGGGTTGGGAAGGCCATAACGTGGTCCAGGGGAACGCCATCACTGGGCGGGGTGGTGGAGTCAGCATCCTGAACCATCCAGGATGACATTTCCTTCACTTTTCACTACTGCGGATCTTAGAGATCAGTGGAAAGGATGCTAATTTGGTGTGGGTGTGTTGAGCTGTGGATTTTTAAACGTGTATTTTCCATGTGTGGACTGCCTTTCCAGGTGTCTGAGGCAGTTGGCATATGTGACTGAAGATGCTCTTGCTCCGCCTGGGCTTGCTGAGGATTCTCCACCATGCCACAGAGGATGATGAAACCTCAGCACTGGCTGCTGCGTAGCAAGAGAAAACAGTGCAGCCCCTCGGTCCAGCCATTTGCCTTGAGCTGGCTGTGCAAGAGAATTCTTAGACACTCACAGCGGGGTGGGGGACACCCAACCCAGGGGTTCTGTAACCCAACTGTTCCGTCCTCTCCCGAGTCTCAGAAATGGAGAAACACCCAGGCTTGTCTGGCATCTCCTCCACAGCTTTCCTGGAGAAACTGACTTAGTCTCCTGCTGAACTCCTGTGATAAATTGTGTCTTGAAATCTAGAGGTATGAAGGAAGCTAAATGGGGCCATTTGCTATCAGCTGCAATCTGTCTGTCTGTCTTTCTGTATGTCTTTCTCTTTGCAAGTGAAGGCACCATCAGTGGGAGCTTCTACACGCTCGCCGTCTGCTGTGCCATCCTGGGGCAGTGCCCCAATACGAGGCTTCTTGCAGGAAACAGGGCTTGCTTGCTGAAGAGCCTCCCTTAAGGGCTAAACGTCACAACACCTCTGCCAGCCTATCGTCCCTGTAGCATCTATTGCCCCCTTCCCACTGCAATCCCAGCCTCCCTCACTGGGGTTTCTCTGGCATATCTGACTCCATCTCTCTCAAAAAGGGGCATGGCGATCCAGCAGGGAACCCACCAAAGCAGGCTCAAGGGGAGCGGGGCGCCCTGGAGGACCTCGGCCACGGAAGAGGTGCACTCATCCAGGGATCACCCACCTGGCTCATGTGAGAGGGGCGAGCAGGAATACTTCCAGTCAGAGTAATTTATCCAGGAATAAAGAGCGTTTTCATAGGAACGCTCCCAAGGGCGGGCAGGAGGGGAGGAAATAAAGGTTAAGACTAAATAATTAGATGAACACCATAAAAGTCACTGCCCTAATTGTAAGGTCCAGAAATAAAACAAAACAAATTGCATTCCTCACTCCAACTGAAAAGCAGATGTTAATCCAAATGGCAATTAGTTACTGTGAGGAAAGGCAGAGAGTGGCTGAAATAGCAGTGACCTGGTTTTCCGTGGCCTAACTGTCAGGCGGCATTAGCTGACGCAATGATTTGAGACCCGCACAGGCAAACAGAAGGGAAATAACCTCTGACATGCTGGGGCCTTTCCTGGCCACCCAAATGAGCCAAGAGGGGTGCTGACCGCCCGCTGGTTCCCTGGATGTGGCCCATCTGGTGGAGCAGGGAGCCCTGCAGAAGAGAGAGGCAGGAGGATCTACGCGACACTCCCAGAAGGGAGCCCTGGGGCCAGACCGGGGCCAACATGGTGCTTCCTCCCAGGTTAATGACAGCATTTGTGGGGGGGGGTAGGGGTAGGGGTGGGGAGACAACAGGCATGCGTCTGTGAGGGTGGTGGCAGGGATGACAAATACACTGGTTGAAGGAATTCCCCAGCAGGGAACACAATTTTTTTTGATTGTGTTATATTCCTTCACATCTCACTTGCATTCTCTTCCTGACCTTCTTTTGTGTCAGACTCTAAGACTGTGCATTTTTTTCACAGGGAATTTTGTCTGTTCTTTTCCCCCTGGTTGCTCATGCCTTTTGCTCATCTACAACATTGTATGTCACCATTTGTTTTTTAAATTATGCACCTTGTTTTGTGTGCACTTTAGTTCTTCAAAACATCCTAGAAATGTCACAAAGAGGTGCAGAATCTCCAGGCAAGATGTGTTTTTCTTTGCCGTTGGTCTTGAGTGGCGTGTAAAGTCCCCTTTTATTGAGAGGGCTGAACCTCTTCTGGCTCTCGGCTCCACTCACCCCTCCAGTGACCGGGAGCATCTCTCCAGGAAGAAGGGCCTGGTCTGGGTCTCCCCGGCCTTGCAGGTGATTCAGAGATGCCTGGGGCTCTCTTTGGCCACCCGTTCGAGCCTGGGCCACCTGCTTGCCTGTCCTCCAGAGCCCACAGAGCCACTTCCTTGAGGGTTGACAACTGCAATGAGGGATGGCAGCACACCGCTTCTGACCATCAGCCCCCAGAGCAGGTCAGGGGCTGGTCAGGATCAGAGACTCCTTTAAGAGCTCCTCCCTGCTATGTGAGCACTTCTCAAGGGCTCCCCATCCCCACCCCGCCATCCCCAGGGGACTTTTCACTGGGCCAGCCTCTGCCTCCCCGGGGGAATTGGTTTATTGACGTGATGCGGAATGGCAGCCCATCAATGCCACAGTTCTGTCTGCTGGGCTCCCTGGGACGTGGTGGAAAATCCGTTTGCGCCTATAATTAAAACAAGTGCAGGAAGCAAACTTTAGAGAAGCTGAAGGCTTGCCTCACGCAACTAGAGAAGGGAATTTGAAGGCAGCCTTGTTTAAACTGTTCCTGCTGCCCATCCTCGCCGCCGCCACCTCCTGTCCCTAGATTCAAAAGTCAAATGACCAAGCCAGACCACAACGTCTGGGGCCTCTGAGGCATTTATGTGGAAGATTTTCCCCCACTACTGATGCAAACCACACTTATACTGGGAAGGGAAAGGGGTACAGTCATTGGTCTAGGCCAGTGAGTCCCAGTCTTCAGTAGCCTAGGTGTTTATGCACTGCAATTCCCAGAAACCCTGGCCAGCACAGCTGGTGGTGAAGGCTTCTGGGAACTGCAGTCCAGGAACACCTGGGTTACCCAAGGGTGGGAACCACTGGCCTAGGCAGAAGGGCACTTCCTGCTGCGATTTTTTTGTGGGCATGGCTCCCCCACAAGCTGTGCCTGCCAGTCATGGAACAAGCAAAGCAGTGTGGCCTTTCGTCTGCGGCTGCCACAGAGTGCCAAGGCAACCTTCCCAGCGAAGGCCCAGCAAAATCCCTGCTTTGGTTCATGAACAGGCTTGTATCCCTTGCATTTTGCCTTGTTTGGAATCAAACAAAAGGACAAGGAAAACAAGCCAGTTTTGGAAAAGGAAAAAACCTTGAAAAGCTGCTAGATGTTCAGGAAGAAGGAAAAAGCTAGTCTCGGGACCTGGCTCCAAGGGGAACCAGCTCTGCATCAGGATGGGCGAGTTCCAGGACTCCAGAAGAGCCTCTCCTGGCCCCTGAACGTGGCGGTGTGGACCTGTGTGCGCACCGGTACCTCTCCCTGTGAAACCAGGAAGTAAGCAAATCCCAAGTGAGGAGGAATCGCTGTGCTTACCTGAGGAGGCACTCGTGGTCATCGGTCAGGAAGGACCAATGGTAGTTGATGAGAAGGGGGCTGCAGTTAGTCATGTCAACATGACGCGTGACTTCCATGTCATTCAGGAGGCAGCCAAAGTCCAGAGTCCTGGTCTGGAAGTGGAGGTTTGGGAAATACACTTCTCCCCGGAGACTGATGTGGTCCACGTGGGGGTGCTCCAGGTAACGCAGCGTCAGGACTTCTTCGGCTACCCAGTTGTACAAGTCATCTCTGTAGAGGGGGTCGAACCGGATGCAAAGATGGTGCACCTCCCCAACATCCATCTTTAAAGGCTGGATTGGGTGGAAAGAAAGAAAGAAAGAAAGAAAGAAAGAAAGAAAGAAAGAAAGAAAGAAAGAGGTTGGCATCTTCAGCTGTGCATCCTTTTCTCTCCTGGTTAGTTTTTGAGAGGACATCGCAGAGAGACAGACAGAGAGACATTCCTCTGTAACTTCAGTGGCAGGAGAGTGTTCAGTGCTGTCAACAAGGAGCACCTTGAAGGGCACCCAGAAACAGCAAAGGGTGGGCTAAAAGACTTCCTGCAAATAGAAGAGACTTCTCCTACCTGACCAGGTGTCAGGAGCTCTTTGTGATCCACATCACAGAGGGAGAAGGGCTGCTGCAATGAGAGAAGGACGCTGAGAGGCAAAGAGGAGACATTCTTCAAGGTCAGAAGTTCGTATTGTGCCGTCAAGACATCGCCAGGGTTCTGGGAAGAAGCGAATGCATTAGAGAAGGATAAAGGAACCCCTGTTTTCTCCAGCCCTTTGCAATACAACAGCACGAAGCCCCAGGAGCAAAGCACTGACCTTCTCCACTCGGAAGGTGATCTCCCTGCAAGAAATCTGTAGAATGGGTGCAATGAATTCGCAGGTGACGTCAACCTTCATGATACACTGCTTCCCAGACTGCTTCCCAATGATGGCATGGCAAACCAGCCTCTCCTTGATGACCTGCACAGGCAAAGATCACCCCTTGTGACTGTAGGAGAAGCGGTCAGGCCTTCAGCACGCACCCCCAGCCGAGCAGCCCAACCGCACCCTGGGACCCAATGGCTTGACTACTGTCGAGTTCCAGGGAAAGAGAGATCTATTGCAGAACGGAGTGGCTCATTTTACAAGGAGTTCCAAACGGTTGGCATCTTGCATGGCCTGGCATCCATCTCAAGATGTCCACGGTGTTGATCTGCTCTCTCTCTCTCTCTCTCTCTCTCTCTCTGTGTGTGTGTGTGTGTGTGTGTGTGTGTGTGTGTGTGCATGCATGCATGTGGGGAGACTCGTTCTGCTATTACATTTGGGGCTGGAGGGCTGCCTTTTGACCAAGGTCCTGTCATGTCATTCCTCATGCAGTGCTGATAGCCAGTTAAGATGCCATTATATAAGCAGGCTCCACCAGAAAGCTCAGGCTGCTTCTCATTCTTCCTGAGAGGAACCTCATGGATGTCCACTTCTGACTTTCCAGTTCCTGCGCTGGGTTTGGGTCCCACCCCCCTTTTTTTGTGATATTCCTTGATACACACTATACTGAGAGAGAGAGAGAGAGAGAGGCTGGCTGGCAGAGCATCCTCTCTTGGGCTTTAGGTTTCTGGCAGGTTTCTTGCTAATGAGCCCTCAAGCTGTCTGTGGGTTTTTTCTCCTTCTGAATCCCATAGGCGCGCGTGCACACACACAAACAGAGCGAGAGAGCCTGGAGAACAACTTTGCTTCCTTCCCTGGGCTGAAGCCATTCACTGCTTTGACACTCCCGCACAGAAAACACAGACAAGGGGCCTCCCAACATCTGCACGCAGGCTGGGATCCAGCTGTCATTCCCTCCAGGCACCTCCAGATGATTTCATGACGCGATTTCCACCCTCAACGAGAGTGGCCCCATGGAGTCAAGGGGATCTGCAGAACTGGTTGCTTACCATCCAGCTGTTGATTCAATGGGCTTAGTCTAGCTGGGACTCACAGCTGGGTTTAGGTCACAACATGGGTTTCCAGATGTGCAATGAAAGAAAATCCTGCTGTTAAAAACCACCAGGTGAATTTTACTATTTTTAGCCACTTTGCAGTTTTGGTTTTTTAATCATCCCCTTTATCTTGTCCATTGCCGCTATCTTGATATAGATACAATTTAATATTTTTGGTTTTGGTCGGATGTGGTCATTCTTTGTTTATTTTACTGCTGGGAACCAACCACTCAGAGTAGCGGTGGCCAGATGAACTTTGATCTGACCGGAAACGGTTGCCAGGTTTCATTCTGGAGTTAACTCTTAATTGAGATAAATGCCAGCAGCGGCAAACGCAGCTTCTGATTTTTCCCTAGAGGACTATAAAGTTCCGAGGGAGAGCTTCAGGCACCAGACTTTCTGACTCAACAGGAGGGGGGGCATCATTTTCAAGCTTGGAATGAGCGCTTTCAAATCCAGGGAGACCAGAACTTGGGCCTGCCCTTGGAATGAGCGGGAAAGGGGTCCTGAGAATGTCTCTTTTCAAGCTTGGAATGGCGCAGATGCTGTTGTGGGAATCCTGGGAAGACCTTGAGCGCTTTCAAATCTGGGGAGACCAGAACTAGGGCCTGCCCTTGGGATGAGCGGGAAAGGGGTCCTGAGAATGTCCCCCTACCTTGGGAGTGTCGGACGATCCCTCCAGGACCATCTCCACGCTCCTTCCCGGCGTCAGCTCCATCCTCAGTGGCTGAAGCTTGAAAACTGGAAGCCGGGGCTCAGCAGCCTTCGACCGGGAACCCTTGCCCTTGGCGTGCGTGCTGAGGACAGGGAGGCTGCCGCAGCTGCTGCTGCGCTGGCGAAATGGTGGGAAGCCTTCCGTCATCCAGTAGAGCTGGTGGGTGCGGCGTCCGCGGTTTGTTATTTTGAAGCGATAGCAACAGGGGTCCAAACTGGGAAAGGGGCAGAGAGGGGCTCAGTCTTGGCCCAGCAAACCTCACTACCTGAACAGCAGTGTTAGGAAACAAACACTCGTTGACCTAAAGAATCTTACGTGCCGATTTTCTACAAAAAGGCATGAAACCAATGTTTTTTAAAATGCAGCAGGAAACAAACACCATCACAGCAGGATCGCAGAGATCCAGCCGTATTTTGCTGCCCTTTTGCTTTTGGTTGGAAAACAGAAGGGCAGCAAAACAGGTACAGGGAATAGCGTCCCACAGGCCACATGCCACCAGCGCAGCCCCTTCGCCCAGTCCTCGGGCGGCCCGGGGCCACCTGCCAAAGGACAGATGCCAATGTCTTCTTCACAGGCTCAGCTCAGAGGAGGTGCTGCTAGAAGAACTGATTTTGCCAACAGTCCACGTGCATTCCAGGAAAGGCTTGGAAGGAGACCTGCACCTCTGAATCAATGCAGAAGGGCTAAAGCCAATAAAGGTTCCATCTGTCTATCCATACAGAAGGGAGCGCCCTCAGGAGTTCTGCTGAGCTGGTTAGGGACCTGAAAACACCGAGCTGCCTTACCTGAAGTGAGGTCCCAGATCAATGGCTGGCGCAAACGGCTTGTCTGTGACGATGGTGGTCCCGATGCCGGTGGCCTGGACTGGGATGACCGAGGAATTGCTGTTCTCTATGACCAGGTTGACTTTATCCTGGAACAGCACCGTGTCATCCAGGTGAGCTGTTAAGGTGAGGGATATCTCGGCCTCTGGCGGGACAGTCCCTTGGCTGGGCTCAATCCTCCACAGCGAATGTGCCCGGGTCTAAAACACAAAATCCCAAGAGTTAGTCTTTGCCTCGGGACAGGGTAAGGGCCGTAACTCAAAAGAAAGAGGAAAGGAAGCAGAGCACAGAGGGTGGGATACTGCAGTGATGAGAGAGGCAACGTAGCCTATGAATCCCAGACTAAAATCCACATCGCTTAAAGAAAGGTGTTCGCTCAAGATCACTAAAAGCAGCAAGGGCTTGTGCTGAATACAATGCCACACCCCATGAAGGCACAAAACACATGCTGTCAGTTGCCGCGTTCGCACAAGGATGGCGAGAGCCTGAGCTGCCCACATGTTTCTGAAGTAGGGGTGCCTTTGAAAACCAGGAACCTACTGGGAGGAGTGACCTGTTGCTCAGCCCAGCCCAGTGGCAACACTCCAGGTCTATTCCTGTCCCTCAAACTGGCAGAGTCAAGCCTGTTCTCCGTCAGGATCGACAATGAGGCAAACTGTGAGAAGCAGAAGATCTTAAGCTAGTTACCACTATTTATATTTATTGAACACTTTCCTGCCGAAACTGACTCAAAGTAGCCTTGCTGATAAGTTGGCTGGCTTAATGGGGGTGGCGGAGGCTCCCTTCTAGGCTAGCGCTCATTTTCTGTCTTGCTGCTGCTGTGCTTGGCATGGCTCGGTTAAACGTCCATTAGGAGACATCCTCCCCAATCTTAGTCAAGAGATGGAACGCCGTAATAGGGAAATGCATTAGAGTAGATAAAAAAGGCTTCATCAAAGGGAGAAACTTATTTTCTCATATATATGTGGCAGGGTAGTAAACAATGCCATGTATAATCAAATGGATGGCTCTGCTTTTTAGAAGATGTTGCCAAAGCTTCTGATTGTGTCCGATGCCCATTTTGCTTTCAGGTTCTAGAAGCTTTTGAATATAAAGCAAATCTTAGTGCTCAGATTAACCTGATTATAAACTGCCCAGCAGGAATATGTTAATAGGAAAGGACAATACATTTTTTCTCATTAAAGAGAGAAACACATCATGTGTGTCTTACCCTCCCCAGTACTTTTTTCCAGTAATAATAAAACCTTCAGCAACGGCCACAAGAGTTGTTAATAAGATGCTGGGAATGAAAGCCAGATGAGGGTCTATTCAAATAGCATTTTGTGCCTATAGCATAACACTATCTTTGGAAAACCCAGGCAAATCTGCTATACCTCAACTCTGGACTTCTGTAGTCACATTTCTAAGTATAAAGTAGAAAAGATACATTGGAAAGAATTTGTGTCAACACTTCCACACTAGAAATTTAAACTAATGGGCTTCCTCAATATAACTACAATTAGTTGAGATAATACATATTTGTTAGAGAGTGTTAGACTCTCTGAAGTGGAAAATTAATTAGGAGGGTTGGACTACAACGAGCAAGTGTTCCTGTTTGCGGCCTCACCCACGGCTCGCCCGCCTGTCCTCCTCAGGCTCCAGGCTGGGTGGCCTTTCCAGGCTCTGACCCTCCCGGGGAGCTGTCCGGGGTCCTGCGCCTCTTGACTGGGCCAGGAGGGGAGCACCTCGGGCAGCTGCTGCCGGGGCGCGCCCTTCTCCCGCTGAACGGGGGGGGGGGAAGCGGAACCCAGCCCACTTCGGGAGGGAGGGGGGCTTGGGATCAGGCCCACCTGCTCTCCCAGGAGGAAGCTTGCAAGCAGCGCTGGGCCCCTCTCCTGGAGCCCCTGCTGGGCAGGGTGCAAGCGCTGGCTTCCTGGCCCCTAGGATCCTGAAGCACCTGGGGGTTGGCTGCCTCTCCCAGTGGCAAGAGCAGGGACGAAGTGGGATGGGCACAGAGGCACCAGGTTCAGCGATGCCAATGGGGATGTCTCGGGAGCCTCTGAGTCTGTGTTGAGGCCACTGGGATATGCGAGCAGCAGGGGAATTCGCTGCTTCCAATAAAGCTGGAGACTTTACAAATTCTTCTTATTGGTTTTTGAAATGTTTTCTAGGAACTTTCTTCAGGTAAAAAGCAGGGCTAGTTGTCCAGGTGAATAGGAAACAAGAATGCACAAGCACTTCATGCAAATAAAATTTTAAAAAAATAAATAATGCCTTGCTGGTCACCTAGTTTGGTATTTTATGCAGGAAGGTCATGGCTCCAGAGGTGGTTCCAGGGGAAATGGGCACTGAGTAAATCTGGAAAGTGCTGCCCGCTATCTGCCCCTCCCCGAAGGATGCCACGCCTGTTGTTCTCTGATCGTAGCCTAGCCGGGTTAACTCCCTGGCATTCAACCCATCTGTAGCTGGATCAAGCCAGCAGCCTGCAATCAGTTCCAAGATAACTAAAGAAACCAGCTTTCAGCAAGGGCATTTATGCTCAGCTGGATTTCAGTGTGTAAGTTTCTCAGACTGCTCACAGCTGAACCTGCAGAAGGTAGACGGGCATCATCAGAAAATCAGAAACCTCACACAGACACACACACACACACACACAGAGCCACTCAGTCTGCCATCTTTGCAAAGAGATGCAATTGCTCGAAGAGTGGGCTGGTCTTCCGAGAGAGCTTCACTGGCTGCACCACTGCTCTTCTGGTTAAATGCTGACAGTAATTAATAGAGAGGAGACGACTGCTTTGAAATGGCTCTGCGATGTGCTTGGGGAGGGAGGTACAGCGCTGCACAGCTGCGAAGGACACAGCTGGAGGTGCCTCTCTCTCTCTCTCTCTCTCTCCTCTCTCTCCTCCTGCCTGTCCCAACCCCCCCCCCAATTCTTCTGCATGTTGAATTTGCGAAGACCCAATTGACTCGCTGCCCAAAGTCACAGCAAAACATCTTGGGAAGCCCGACGGGGCTCCAAAGGACTGGCGGGGGGCCCGGGGAGGGAGGGAGGGAGGGAGGCAGAGAGAAATTGGTTTCTTAGCTGAGCCTCCTCCATCACTCTCACTGCTAAGAAGCCATTTTCTGGAAGAATTACAGTGCTATCTATGTTGCATACATTGCCTCGGCCGCCCTTACAACCATCACATGAAGGAGGTGGTTATTACTGTCCCCACTTACCAGGCAGAGAACTCAGGTAACTAAAGGTCACCTTGTAAACTCATGCTTAAGCTTTTGGAATATTTTTGTCTGCAAGTGCAAAGCTGTTGGTCCAGAGATCCCTTTGCTCCTTTTCCTCTTACCTTCTTTATGAGCGCTCGTTATACTAATTATTACTGGAGAGGCACCTGAGCAAGCGGGAGGGCGTTTCTCTCCCACATCAGGCTTTGCTGGCTTTACATCCAACACTCCTCACATCCTAGGCCTTGCAACTCCTTGCCATCCACCATGCTGGTGTGTAAACCGTACGGCTATGTCTTGCTGTGCAGAGGAGGAGCAGGGAAAGGACAGCAGAGGCAGCAAGCCAGACCCACAAGAGCCCCGCCAAGGCTGGATGCGCCCAGACACCCATGCACTCCACCCCTCCAACGGCTGACCATCCTGGTCCCAGGAGAAGCCTTCATAGAGACTTGGGCCACAGCGTCTCCGGGGAACATTCTGTCCCAGGCAATGCGCGGCTTATGTTGTGTTAGAGGCTCCTCTTGGCCCTACTCACCATCCGAGCCTCAAACGGTGCAGGAATCACGGACTGATTGGAAAGGTAGAGCGTCTGGGAAACATTGGTTAAGACCTGGATGTTGCCAAAATCAAGCTTGCCGGGATGCACGTGAACCACAGGCCCTTCTCCGATGCCCACCAGCTGGATCGCCTGCTCAACAGGAGACCAGGAAGCAGAGCAAAGAAGGGTAGTTAGCAGCACACCCCGGCTGTGGGGCAAGGTGGTCAGTCTCCAGACTAGCACATCGGATGCTCAGTCCAAGATCTCCAACTAGGAAGAGAGGACTGATGTGGGTCCCCCAGGGGAGTCTCCTGCCCTCTCCACCCCGAGGCCTCAGCCCCACTGCCTCCGCTCTTCAGAGGGGGTGAAGGAAGAGACTTGGGCTTTCAACCCCAAAATAAACATAACAAGGCCTTGCTTTCAGGTCATGTGAGGCAAAAAGGAAGTGCAAAAGGGAAGCGTTTCCGGCCCCAAAAGTGTTGTCAGTGTCTCCAAAATGAAAATATTCAAGATATCAGTTTGCCACAGTAAGCCCCATCGAAGCAACCAACATGAATTTGACCCAACTCCGGGAGGCAGTGGAAGACAGGAGGGCCTGGCGTGCTCCCTGGTCCATGAAGGGTCACGAAGAGTCGGACACGACTTAACGACTAAACAACAACAAAGCCCCACTCTATAATCGTTTGCCCACTGGACAGGTTTGAGGGGGGGGTTTCTTCTGTTAAGGGGCAATGAACGATGAAACGTTAGAAGCCAAAGCACGATCAGACAAGAGGGATGGCTCACTATGAAGAGCAGGAGGGCTATGCTGTCATCAGCAGTGAGAGGTGAGCTCCAGTTAACACAGGCAGTTACTGCAACCAGTTATTTTCTATATAAATGAAATGAAACAGGCTGAGAAGGTGGAGAGAAAGCCACAAAGCTCATAAAAACCTCAGCTATGAATGTTAAGGTGGAGGATGCTTGGACTCCACCTGTGAGTAAGTGGGGTAAGCCTCCTGCTTTGGGTTAAATAAAAAAATAAAGGGGTCGTGTGTTTCCTCTTACTTGCCTGCTTGCCCTCCAGCAATCGGATGTATTCAGAACTGTGTGCTTGAGCAAACTGAGCTGGTGTCAAAACAGAGCAAGCTAATTTGAAAGATTCAGAGGCGAGGCAAGCTCATGCTAAGAAAAACAGCCCCCCTCCATCACTTGCGAGAGAAATGCTTCTCAATGGAAGCAGAGCTTCCCATCGGGTGAACTTGCTGGTTCGAGCAAAGCAACCCAGTGGCTCCTCAGTGATGAGCTGGCCCTGCAGAAGGACCTGTTTCATGACCCCTTGAAGAAGAACACAGGCAACCGTGACTTGCTCTGGCCTCATGGCAAGACGAGGCCTGCTCTTCGTACCGGCTCCTTCTGCTCTCTCCGCCTGGTGCCCCACGTCTACTCACCAGTGGGGAGTCTGGCCTCCCAAAGACAGCAATGTGGGCAACGGCCTCCTGCCGCCCTCTTTCTTGGACCTCCAGGACCAGGGGGATCTCCGTGGTGGAGTGGGGAGCAATGATCCCACAGGGCAAGGGGCTGGAATGCAAGAGGGCAGGAGGCTGGTCGTTCTCCTGCACAGAGACGAGAAGAGCAGAGCCAGCTTTCAGGACGGACGGACTCATGGCCTCCCTGCCTGATGAAGCTCACCTGCCAGGCTGTCAGCACCTTTTCCATGAAGAGAGCTGTTCCTTCCATAATTTGAAATGTATTTAAGCCTGAATGGCTTGATGTCTCCTAAAGAATTAAGCCTCCATCTCAACACACTTTATACGACTCTTTGGGACTCTTAAACGCTCAGCAGCAGAAGATTTGGCTATCCTGGAGCCAAATACTGGAAGCTGACACAACAGGCTATAAACATTTCCCCTCTTCTCCTCCCGGGCCCTTCTTATCACTGATTTGCAAACGTCCACCTGGCTCCAAAGTGGCCACCCCCAGCCAGCGCTCTGAAGAACCCACCCAGGCAGAAGCCTCTCATTTTCACAGTTGCTCTAGTTCCCGATTGGTTCGGAGGAATTTCCCTGCCCTGCCGGCCCCCCTCCCCAGCATCAAGCTCTTCAGAACAGAAAAGGAAGAACTAGACCAACCTGGGGAAGAACACCATAGCATCCTGGAAGGTCACTGTCATTAACAAGTGTTGCTACTTGCTGGTACGGGAACTTCAAAAAGCAGCATCCAAAGTTCACCGTGGGATTCGCTACGTGCAGCTGAGGTGTGAGACATCTAGTCCATTAAATAAGCAAACAAACAAAGAGTAAAGATTGTTTAGGTCTGTTCTCTGACAGGAAGGCATAGCCCATTTTTCACTGTCAGGGAGAGACTTGTCAGCCATATGGTCATGAGCAAGACTGGAAAGCACCTGGTCCTAAAACAACGATGCATCCCTCATGGAGACAAAAGCAAAGCTCTTTGAGCAGGCTCCCCATTGCCCACGGGAGGCGTGGCCTTGTCTCCCATCCTCACCTGGCCAGCAGGCTGGATCCCCAGAGGGTTTGGATGCTGAAAGAGTCCAGCTTCAACTCGTGGACCAGGAAAGAGGGCCAGCAATGAGGAGGCTCTCTCTTCATCAGCCTCAGACTCTTGTCAGTGAAAAGGGGAGGAGCGAGGGCGAGCTTCTCTCTATGGGGCGGGGAAGGGCGTGGCCTTCTAAGGTGGCCCTGAGGACTGCCCTTCATCCTGACGGAGGGTTCAGAGGTCCTCCACCCAAGCACGACTCCAAGGACAAATTTATAAGAGAGTCTTATAAATAGTTGCTCTTTCCTCGCTTTGGGAAGTCATCAGGATACCCATGGTGGGAGGGTTAGGGCTGAGAATGCAGGGGTGGGCAGGGGCCTCAAGAGGGCTGCACTTGCAGCCTTCCTGAGGTGCCCATCAAGGGACCCTGCTCTGCTCTGCCCGGTCCTCTTTCCAGAAGGCCTTGTTAAACTGCCCTTGATAAAACCAGGACCTTTGTCACCAGAACAGGCGCAATCTGCCGTCAGCGAAGGAGAGAAAGGAGAAAATATCCCAGACAAATCAGTCCTTGCAAGACAAGTCAGCTGCCCTGCAAGATGCCCTCCCCCAGTCCCTCCTCCTTGTCTCTGCCTCCTGCGCCCTTCTGAGCCTCGAGAACAAAGTTGTTCATCTATCAGCATCAGCTGTCAAACCAAATGCATCTTCAGCCCACAGGCAAATGCGCTGACGACTCCAGCCTTAAACGGGCCGCCACTGGGCATTTGCCGTGTCCACGTGGAAGCGGATGAATCCAGTCCATGCTTTGGCCTTGCTGAAAACCATCCCCAGCTGAGTGGGAGCCGAAGGTCAGGGGCACCCTTGCTCCCTCGGAGAGGCACATAACCCCCCCGCCTCTCCTCCAAGCACTGCTTTGCTCCAGTGTCCCTCACCTTGTGAGATTCGGCTGCCTCAGGAGCTCCTCTGGGCACACCACACACACCCCCTGGAGCCTCCTTGGAGTCCCATCGTGTGACCTTTGCCCAGAACAAAAAGGAGGCCTGCAACCATCGGCCTTTCCACAAAGCATCCATTATTCCGACTGCCCTGCTCGGATCGTGGCCGGAAGCCATGCATCCTAAGCCTGTCCTAAAGCAACTTAGATGCTACTTGCTCTGCTTTACAGTAAATGTCTCCTCCTGCCTTACTCAATGTTCAGTTGGCAGAAACTGGAAATGTCACTTTTCAGACTACAGTTCCCAGCATCCCCAAGCCAGCATGACTGGGGGGGGGCAGGAGGGAGGCTGGGGACTGTCGCCTGAAAAGTGACATTTCCAGGCTCTCCACCTTGGTCCCCCATGCCTGTGCTTTAGTTGTTTGGAGGGAGGATCCCCATCCCAAGTGCCAAAGGTCAGTCGGAGGAAGCAGATTTTGCTGGCTGAGCATCTCCAGGCTTCCTTGAAATGTGGGCAAAGCAAGCTCACAGAGGGAGGAAAAGCAACCCCTGTCTTCCTTTCTTGCCTTGGCACCCAGATGCTCAAGTGAGGGGTGTTAGCACAAAGCCAAGCCCACCCTACCGGGGGGGGGCAAAGGATGACACTCCCTGCTAGCCAAGGGAGGCAGGCAACCAGCCATACCTTGCTGTGATGGGGAGGGCAAGGACATCTTCTCCGCTGCCTTTCACATCTACTACAAGGGCAGTTTCATAGACCTTCACCGTGTTGGAACACAAGGTGACCTGCCATGTAAAAGGGGAGCGAGAATTCAGGTTACAGGAGGAGCAAAGGTTATACACACCCCCACACCCACACCGCTTGCCCCCTCCCCCTTTGAGCATTTCCCAACTCTCACCCTAAAGAAGGACACGGGCATGTGTCAGAAGTAAACCCCTGGACCAACAAGGAGATGTGGGACGCCTCAAAATCAGCAGCGCAGGACTGCCTCCTGAAGGAAACGCCTGCTTCTAACTACTAACTAGGTAATATTAATTTGACTTAATTGGGCTCAACTTAACCTGGCTCCAATTGGCTCTGCCTAGCGAGCTTGCTAAATCTTCATGTCAAGCCCCAGATGGAGGACTCTGGGGTTTGTGTGTTGCCCTGTTCCCCAGCTGAACGAGAACGTGGGATTTCCAAAGACAGGCCATGCCGGGAAGATTGATGCATAATTCTGAGCTTCTTTAGTCGAGGAGCTTGGGGGTCGGGGGGGGGGAATTATGGCCCATCAACAGCTTCCTCAGCTGTCACTTTATGACCACAACTCCAACGCAGCCTGCACCCTCTCAAAAATATGTCTAAGAAGCATGTCTGGGGAATCTAAGACGTTGGTGCATGCCTGATGAAGTGGGCTTCTGGTCCATGAAAGCTAGCAGATGGCATGATTTTTCTTAGTGGTCTAATAAAGGCACCACTGCTCCAGCACTGTATTTTATATGGACCACAGAGATCTCATGGTTTTTTTCAAAATGGGAAGCTGGGTTGATGTGTGTGAGAGAGAGAAAGAAAGAAAGCAGTCAAATAAAACAGGGCAAGAGTTGCAGCAAAAGCAGCCAGAGGAAAGACCCCACACGGTTGTAGTTCTGACCCATCAGGACACTCACAGGAGTGAGTGAAAGCACCCAGCCGCTCAGCACCCTCCCCCCCCACCACGTCAAGCCCCCTCCTGGGAGCCCCTGAATCAAAGGACTGGACGGGGGCCGTGGGCAACATCCCCTCTGCCCGCAGGGCGCAGGACTCTGCCCGCTTCGCTCACTGCCACCGAGGGCCCCTCACACACAGACACACCCACACTGTCCACATGCATGGGTGGCCTGAGGAATCCCAAGCAAGGCCTGTCACACTCCCTGAGACTCTTCCATGCTCTCCTGCCAAACCAAAAACAGCAGCGAGCACAGCAAACAGCGCGCGCGCCCCCCTCCCCAACGAGGGAGTCTCCAGCTGGGCGCTGGGGAGAGGGGAGGGAGACTGCAGGCACAGCAAGTGGGGGAAGACAGACCCACCCCAAGGAGGGCACCCTTCTGAAACAGGCTCCTCATTCCCAGGGAGGTCCGTGTGTCATCCGAGTCAGGTGGGAAAACAGCCGTGCGTATGGCCAGAATGAGAGCAGCCCCCCAAACCCCTGCAGTGGGAAGGGAAGGGAAAGGAAATCAAGGCGGGGGGGGTTGGCATCCATGGAAGGGTGCCGGGTGGAAACAGTCAGGCTGAAGGCAGTTTCAGAGAGGCAGATGGTAAGACCTATGGTTTTGGATGGGGGGAGGCAGAGGATCTGAAATGCCTGGGTCCCCCCTGCTTTTGTGCCCTCTGGACTCATGGGCTTGGAGTCACGATTCCCGTCAAATATAGCCTTGAGGCTGAAAAATATCTCCCTGCAGCAAAGAACCAAAAACCATCTGGTCCAAACATCGCTGGGGGTGAAGCAGCACGAGGTTCCCGTTGGCCTTCTCCCCTCCTTGCTTGTGCTCTTTGCCTCTAAATGCCTGTAAACTCTGATTTCCTCAAATGAACTCGGTGTTCCCTTCCAGTTTCTAATTCCATACTTGGGCTTCTTTACGGTAAGATTATAATTCCTAGAAATACTCGCCCTCCCACTGGGGCTTGGGCCGTGAAAGGGTCTTTTGAACCTTCCCCATATAAAGAGGGCATTTCTGGAAAAGGGTTTTGAACCCACTTCCCCTCCAAAATACTCTGGGTCAGCCAGAGTGGCTGCTGGCACTTGTTTAAAGCAAATGCCTCTGTGCCTTTTAAGATAGTTGGGGGTGTCCCAGTTAACCCCAGCATTGCCCCTAAGCTCACCCAAGAACATGGACTGCAGGGCTGGGAGAGAAAGAGGTTCAGCCGGGGCTTTTCTGAATAGGGAACGGAGGGTGGTGGGAGAAGCCTTGAGTGAGGAGAGCAGGGTCCTGGGATGGCCATGAGCAGTGTTTGTGGAAAGGAGCAGCAGTAATAAGAACAGAGGAGAAAGGGGAAAGGCCTGGAAGGTGCAAGAAGGGAACCAGGAAAAGTTGGGTGCCTTTCCTTCTGAGTCACTGACCCTCTCCTCTGACTTCTTCCAGCTTAGACGGCACTGACGGCTCAACAGCTGCTGTCCTTCAAAAAGGCAGTTTTGCAAAAAAAAACCCTTCCTACGGCTAAGACAGCCTTTCCATCCTGTGCTGTCTATTGCATGAAGTTCCATCAGATTCTCCCTGTGCCTCACCGATCAAGAATGGGCCCGAGGAAGCCCCCTACCTTGACATCCATGAGTGCCTGCGAACGGATGGTTCCACGGCTGGGGGTAATGGTGAACTCCCTGAGCTTGGCAGCCGCAGCGTGTGCCTTTCTCCACGTTGGCCTTGAGATGTCTAAGGCCTGGTCTTGGCTGGTGGCGCTTGGCTCTCCGCTGCCATCACCGGGGACGTGAAGGTGGAAGGTCATGGGAACCAAAGAGGTGTTGCTGATGGAGCAGGACAAGGTGCGGGGGAAGCCTGCAGAGGGAAAGGGAAGGAGCAGCTTCCAGGGGCTCAGCGGGACCAAGAGGGCCCCAACCCTCTTATTTCCCTTACCCCAAGAGTGGCCAGGTCAACCGCAACCCACTCCTTGACATCTCAGGGCCAAAGGTGGAAGGCCAAGGGCTGGCCCCTCAGGAAGCCGCAGGGAGGAGCTCTGCCACGCGGCTGCCACACAGTCTGGTGGGTTGTGACCTTGGTGCTCCCTGCCTGCCTCACCCGGGACCATCTACATTTCTATTCCACCAGGATTTAGGGATGGAAGTTTTTCTGTCTGTTGCTTGATGGGTGTTGCTTGTGTTTGTTTTAGCTGTAAGAATGTACACTGTTTTAGTTTTTAGTCTTGGTGCTGTTGAAAACAACACTGCCAGCTGCTCTCTCTTTGGAAAGCTCTTTGTAGGACCAATTAATTTGGACCAATTCAAGTGTACGGAATTTGCTCACCTCACATTCTAAAATTGTTTTTATCTGGTTTTAGGCAGTGTTTATATATTTTTGTGACTATCCATCACTAAGAAGCGATCGATAAATCCTTTCATTACGAAACCAGTCAAGATAGCAGCCCCCCCTTGATGGAGCTGCTCTTTCTGGGCCAGAGGCTGATGAGAGAAAGCCACGGTGGGCTTTGCCACTCTCTGTGTGGAAGAGCTTTAAGCAGGTAGCCTGGCTGGCCCTGGACGACCACGTCCAGAAGTGACAAATGCTGTACAGAATTCCATGTTTTCAGCTGCAGCCTGTTGTGGTAAAGGGAAGGAAAGCCATAATCCCTCGAGTATTGGTTTTGTACCTTTTTCAGAGAGAGTTGTTAAGTTCTGCTTTTTAATTTATTCCCCACCACACCCCAGAAAACTCAGGGAAAAAAAGAGAGAAGCAAAATGAAATGGTGTGGAATGATGGAACGAATGAGTTCCCTTAAACCGCCTGAAAATGAGGAGGGAAGGCATCTTGGCACCAGCACCCGGCTGCACTGTTATTGATTTTACATTTAAACCAGAGCTAAATCAGATCAGCTTTTTATGAAGCTGCAACAAAAGAGCCAGAATCTAAGTTGAGATGGGAATGTTCTGAATTAATAAGAGAGGGGGAACCAGGCTTAAGAAGATGAATTTGCAGCAGTGAAAGAGGGAACGGTGTCTGAGTCCGCAAGGAGAGCAAGGAGGCTGAGCGGCTCCATCAAACTTCCTCCGAAACCTTAGCCTCCAGATGTGTTGCCTTACAACAACTAGCAGCCCCACTCTGCAAGATGGTAGCCCAACCCATCGAGAGGCCATGCGGTTGGGGAGGGCTGATCCATCCCCACGAGAGGGACCACCTAGCCCGACAACAAAGACCAGCCCATTACTTTGAGACATCTTCAAGCATGACAAGGAAGAGGCAGACCTCCACCCATTTCATTTCCCATCAACTAATAATCAGAGAGCAGCACAAAAATCTGCATATGGGAGCACAAGTAGAGTCCTCCAGCTTCAATGAGACCAACATCACCATCGCAAGCCGGCCTTGCCCATCAAGGCATCTTGTACTACAAGCCCTCCATGGGATGACAGTTTGCACAAGGCAAAGACTTACCAAAGGAGACGTCCCCAAAATCGAGGGAGGGCACGTTGAAATGGAATGTCGGTCCAATGACGCAGCCACTGGGAGGGGAAACAGAGAGGGAAAGGCTGCCTAGGGTGGTAGAAGCAGTCCAGAGCCCAGGCTGCCGTCCCCAAAGAGGAGGTAGCCAGAGCCTGACAGAAATGGGGTGGGCAACTGAGGCTTCCCAGATACTCTTTCTTGGGCCTCAGCGTGTGCCTCAAGCGCAAAGCTAAGTGCACACAGAGCATGGCAGAAGGAGTCCCATGACTAGAGACGGGGTGTTTGCTTGTGTATCAAACATCCACACTGGACCTTTCCTTAAATCACCTCCCACATTTCCCAGTGCTTACCTGATCACCAAACGGACAGGTTGGGGGGATCCGTTCACGTTGAATTTGAACTCTTCTGAGAAGTGTCCCAGGAGGGTGGTGCTGAAGGTGATATGAATGGCCTGGTGGCTCCCCGGCTCAATTATCCCTTCACTTGGTTGGAAGGTGAAGCAAGAGGCCAGGGCGCTGGACGGCCATGTCAAGTTGAAGAGGGCATCGATGGCTCCTTCGTTGGAAAGGACAGCCTGCAACAAAGGAGGAGGGGCAGCACGAATAGAGAGGAATGGTCCGGATCTCCCTCCGAGGCAGAGCAGATCCGTGTTATCCAGCTGGGAAAAGACTTTTCTCCCAATCCTGAGGGTGGAGCACGTTCCTTGTCCCAAAAAGATGGGCGATGGAACGAACTCTCCCGAGTTTGGCAGTGGTATCTGAAGAGGTCTCATTCACAGCAACAAGTACATTTCCTTTATTTTGGAGGACTCCTGGCTCCCAAATTTCCCCTTATACGACAAGGTTTCCCATTAGGCTGACGGATGGCTCAGAAGACATGGGATGGCTCTAATAGGGGAGGCACCACGATCGCTCCATCCGTCCTCAACTGCGCATCTTGTGTCCAAATCCACACTGAAAAAAATCTTGCAGCCAAATGGGAAATGTATGCTGTGACTGTAAGTAGAGCCCCAGCAAAGCAATTTTCTGTGTTTTTGTCATTTGTGCTGCTTATAACATCTAACAACCCAGAAAGACCACACCCTGAAATTTCTCTTGCCTTTTAAATAAAGGATCACTTCTTAAGTTGGGGATGAAGACTCGTTCCAAGGGAGGGTCTGCACACACACGCAAAGTCTGCCCGTCGGACAATGCCCCCAGCAAAGGACAGCTGCTTTGGGAACCAAGTCTGTTTCTATAGCAGGCTTCAGCAGCCAGGGATCCCCGTCCTCCTTTCCAGGAAAGGGGGTCATGCCCTTTGGGAACCTAAAGAAGTCTTTGATGTGAGCCAGAACAACCCCACATTTGGAAGGTGGCGGCCTGCAGTCCGATGAAAGGCGGCATCTGTACCTTGCCGCCTAGAGTGGTCTTATAGGCCAGATGGGCGGGGTATAAATCAAATAAATAAATAAATAAATTGGAGAAATGAAACAGCATCCTTTGCAGGTGACAGGGCCCTATTCGGATTCATTAGCAGGGCTCACCTCATAACTGTGGACTGATCCAACAAACATTTTCCCAATGTCCAGCTGGTCAAAGTTGAAGAGCACTTTGGGGCCCATGGCCTCTCCTTTGATGCGCAGAGGGAGCCTGCTCTCTCGGCCTGCGGAGACAACAATCCCCCACTTGAGGAGACAAGACGCAAAGATGGCAGCGCTTCCAAGCATTTCAACATAAAGTGGAAACTGGGCCCAGCAGCAGGCATGTGAGAACTAAGAACGTGGGTCTCCCTTGAACTGCAGAGCTTTTGTGTGTGTGTGTGTGTGTGTGTGTGTGTGTGTGTGTGTGTGTGTGTGAGACTATCTCCCAAAAAAACATGAACATGCCATGCTGTGATATTCTGATCAAGGCATCAAGCTCAGAGAACTGATGCGGAAAGAGCGCAGCATTCCAGAAGTGGGTCCAGTGTGGAAACACCTTAGTTGGGCAAAGAAATTACTTGGAAGTCAAGAAAAGCTTGGCCTGTTCAGTTGCTGCTGGCCAAAGCAGCTTGACAAAAGTGGCCGGATGGGTTCCTGTGGTTGATTTTGTTCAGCCATCTCTGGCTCAATAGTTTCAGAGTCGGGGGGAGGGGGGCTCCTGGAGCCACTGGGTTGTTTGGCCCTGCCTCCAGGTGCCAAGCATTCAGACGGAGCTCAAGCAGAAGGAGGCAGCCAATTCAGGTGGCAGGGCATCCCACAACCTTGTGACCTGCCCCATGGCCAGCTCCCTCCCTCTTCAGCCCTCCTGCACCAGCCCTTTGACAGCTGCCTCTTCTGCCCCATGCACTCTTGCCCTTCCACCCAACCACCCTCCACTCTGTGGAGAAGCACAGGCTGCTTACACGGCGGTGGGCACAGCTTTACACAGAGCCAGCTGAGCCAAGCTGGGGCTTTCTCCAAAACACAAGGAGGCAGTACAGCAGAGGAGGAAGAGGAGGAGGAGGAGGAGGAACAGCAGCCTTTCCTTCCTCTCTCAGGCATTAAGGAAGCTTGGGCCACACCCAACCACCCTCCACTCTGTGGAGAAGCACAGGCTGCTTACACGGCGGTGGGCACAGCTTTACACAGAGCCAGCTGAGCCAAGCTGGGGCTTTCTCCAAAACACAAGGAGGCAGTACAGCAGAGGAGGAAGAGGAGGAGGAGGAGGAGGAACAGCAGCCTTTCCTTCCTCTCTCAGGCATTAAGGAAGCTTGGGCCACTGCTACACAGGAGGAGGAGGAGGAGGAAGAGCAGCCTTTCCTTCCTCTCTCAGGCATCAAGGAAGCTTGGGCCGCTGCTACACCACGCTCTCACAGCTTCAGGGCTGGCCAGCGGCTTTGCTCCTATCGGCCTACACAGCTCGTCCCTCCCTCCCTCGGAGATAGACTTGAGACCAGTGACCTGCTCTGATCTCCCCTCACCACCTCAGTGCTTGGATCTACCAAGGATCCCACTGCCGCTGCCACCTCCGTGAGAAAAGCACCAGGCAAGGTATCCATGGAGACTCATCCTTTTGGAGCACCAGACCTTTTATTCTGGAGATTTATTTGGGCAAAGAACAGAGGGAAAGCTTCAACTGAGAAAGCACTTTCCCTTCCCCACCTGAACCCCCGCTTCTCCCATGCATCTAATTGGGTGGCTTCATGCCGGCACATCCCTTTGGATGATGTCCCTCCCAGCCTTTGAACTTTGCCAGATCTAAGAGCCCCTTTGGAATCAGATGGAAAATCTCAAGTGAATGGCAAAAGGCACTCCTGGTGGGTGGGCAGGCTGGGGGGGGTGTCGTTTCAGAGAAATGGCCCTTGGCAGAACAGCAGCCCCTCTTCGGTCCCATCAAGCAAGCATTTCCGGAGGGGTCCTGGGCTCTGCGGCAGGACACGGCTGCTCTGTGCAAGAGACCCAGTGGACCGACCGCTTTGCAGGCTCGAGAGGTTAAGGAAAGCCTTTCGCTCTTCCAGGACACTCTTGGGCTGCTCCTCCCTCGCCATATGTTTAAGAAAAGACATCCACTGCAAAGTAGATGCTCTGAGTTAGAACTCATTAGGGGATTTTAATAAGGCTTGTCTGAGATGATCAGCCAATTAAAAGACGAAGATGACACGGACCCAGTGGCAAAGTGGAGAAGCACGTGGCCATCCCCAAGGCAGATGTTTTCCTTCGGGGTGGGGATATGTCACAGGACATTGCGGTGCTGCAGCCTCTTAATGAAAGGAATCCAGGGAGGGGCCTTGGTCTGTTCACAGCTGAGTAGATCACATGGGATTGTAGCTGGAAGCCAATCCCCATCACAGTCTGCATCCTCACAGAAGTCCATACTATTCTCCAGAAGTCAATTTAAGTCTTTAAAAGCAGAACACCTATTCACCAGAGTCCTTTATTTCCTGTGTTGACTCTATGTATGTGGATTATGTTTGGATGCTTTCTTGTGTCCACCATCTGCATCACCGGTCGGGGTTGTCTAGCAAGGGATTCCCTGCGTCAGTGATAAGTGGACTAGAAAATGACCTCTGAGATTCATTCTAGCTCTATGAGTCAAACCACACATTAACAAAAATCAGTATTTCCTGCTTGGATAACAATTTTCCTACCAGGCACACAGTTCCTTCAAAGCCCTGTCAACATGGCAGATGCATCTGTGTTCACCTTCCACTGACTAACCATCAAAGAAAAGCAAGCTACCTTGGAAGGTGTGGAGCAGATGAGAACTCATGTTAGGAGAAGCATCTCTTGCCACTCCAGGGGGCTCACCCTCCAGTGATGGGCTCACCACGTCCTCCAGGATAGGCCCAGGATTGGGAGGTTTCTGTCCTGTGGTTTGGTTTGGTTTTACAAATGCATCTCTACCTGCGGAACTTTTCCTCTTAGCGGTCTAATTCATGACAGGTTTGTGTGGCTTATTTTCTTATTACAAGCTTTGCTTTTCCCAACATCAGACTAGTATCACACAAAGAAATGCCACACGCATATCAACCTCAGACAGCTGCCTTCCCTGCAAAAGGGCAATGAAACAGACATCCATGACAGGTTTCTTCCCTCTGTCGAAAGGCAAGAGATGAGGGGCCCTTCAGACTGCATAGGGCATCTCCCCATCTAAACTGATAGGCAGGCTGGCCGGCATCTACAACAGCTCAGGTGAGACAAGACACAAAGTGTGGAAACACTGGCCTCCTGAAACAACGGAGGGAGAGGGCGGATGTCATACCTGAGATGTCACAGTAGACAGTGCGCTGATAAATCCCAGCTTCTTGGGGCCGGAAGATCACACTGATTTCGGCTGTGGAGTTGGGCCAGACGTCCCCCTCCTAAAGGTGAAGAGAAGAGGTGGCAGGGGTCTCCTTCAGGAGGAACTGGGAATGAGCAGAACCCCCTGAAGCACCAGCAAGAGGCCTGACAGCTTGAATTTGTAACCCAACAGCCATTTCTAAACCGCCTCCACCCTTTCAACACCCTGGCATTACTAGTGCATGAACTGCGGCAAGGGGCCCCTCTCTGTCCAGAAGGGCCACTGGCTGGGGGTGGTGCAGCAGCCTCAGGAAAAGCCCCCAGGGAACAGCCCCACCGCTCCTGGGCGCCCCCCCCCACTCAGGAAAAGCCCCCAGGGAACAGCCCCAAGGGCCTTCTCCCCTTGGCTCCCATGAAGACCCAGCCAGAGCGGCTGAGAGCAGCCATGGCCATTGCTCCTGGGCGCCCCCCCCCCTGGTGCAACAGGACCAAAGGGGAGGCCGGGAACCCTCTCCCCTCCCAGCTTGCCCCTTCCTCCACGCTTCTCTTTGATTTCTTGCCCTTGCCTCCCTCCCCCTCTCTCACACACACACCTTTGATGGCTCTTTGCACAAGGCCAGCTCTCTTCCCTCCTACTTTTAGGTGGTGTGCTCTTTTTCACTTTTACCTTCCCCTTAGATTTTATAGGCAGAGCACCTCCCCATGCGGGAGGAATAAAGATGATGCCTTGCAACTGTGCAGATAAGGAATTCATGAATAACTCAAACACTCCAATAGAGGGGAGAAAAACACGGCAGAGCTCACTGACAGATGCAATCTGCACCTTATGCCAGAACATTTGCCACAGGTATTGCAACAGGCTAGACCCCAGCCAAAAAAAAACATCCTATGCTAAACCACCATCACTGATGATGATGCAATAACCATCAGGTAAGGACTGCTAGTCCAGATGCTGTGGGGCTTGGACAAAGGATTCCTGGATAGCTGGGGGAGGGCAAGTCCGTAAGAACCAGAAAGGCAGCAGCTTTGAGGGCAGAAACTCTGCCCCCCCATCTGCAGCAGGAGGACACGTCTGGTAGCAGCCTGGGTCCTCCTGCTTCCTCCTCTGGCCTCTTCAGCTGACCACTTTGGAAACAGTCACATGGCCCTCTGGCCTCTTCAGTTGACCACTTTGGAAACAGTGACATGGCCTCTCTCTCTCTCTCTCTCTCTCTCTCTCTCTCGAAGAGGAACATTTTTTTTCAAACTATATCCTGTACACACAGTAGACAAAATCAAGCCTCTCTCTCTCTCTCTCTCTCTCTAGAAGAGGAACATTTTTTTCAAACTATATCCTGCACACACAGTAGACAAAATCAAACCCTGGAAGAAGCTGTAATTAAGAAAAGGAACAATAGTCCTCCCAGGTATTTTATTCTGAGCTTGACCACCAAGGCAGGCACTGACCCACCACGAGGCACGGCCCACTCTTTAATCCAGCCGGTCTGTCCAAAGACAGATGGAGACAAAAAGACCAGGTGGTTGAAACCAGAAGTAGTGATGTGGCCGCATCCTGCCATTCAGACCTGGTCCTTATCCTCGGATGGGGTGACCAAGGCAGTTCAAATGCTGCTGAAGTCACTCTCGGTTTCACCCAAGAGATTTTGGGCTCGCTCAGCCATTCTAAGGCAACCCTATCTAAGACACCTGCAATTGGGCACATCCCAGCTTTCCTACATCACCCTCAGAAATCTGCAGGCAAATGATGAATAGCCTGACTTCTGGAAAGGTCAGGATGCTGAAGAGGTCACTTGCAGGTGGCATTCCTCATGAGTCAGGAGAGGGCCGGGACACCCTTTCAAGGACAGTGCCCGAGCAGGGTTTTCGTTCTTTCTGGTTTCCATTTCCAAAGAGTCAGCTGGCACGTGGCCCCCGTGTGACTCTCGCTGCTAAAGGCACAGGAAGCTGCAAGGGGAATCCAGGCGACGCAGCAATCAGGAGCAAGCACTCTGCCCTTTGGTAGCCACCTGGGTTTTCCTCACCGGGGCTCTTTTTCCTGCTGACATCTCAGGCCTCCTTCCCAATCCCAAAGAAAGCTAAACTTGAGATGCTCTCTGAAGAAGCTAGAAGGGCATCATCACTCCCGCCAGCCTTAACACACAGAGTGGAGGGGAAAAAATTTCTGTAGATGGCAGCCCAAGATCCTAGAGGTCTACACAATGCCCCCAACTCACACACACACACACACACACACACAAATTTGAGCAAAACATTTGGGCTTCCACCTCCTTCAGTTGCTCTGTTAACACCTGCAACAGAAAACATCACTCCTCTGCTTTGGAAGACCCCCATCTTCCAGGATCCACAGCTGTCATCTGGGAAGCAGCACACTTTCACCAAAACAACTGGACAAAGCAGATGCTGAGCTGTTTTGCTTAAATGCTTCTCTTTGTTAGTCACTCTTCTACGTATATATCTGTTTTAGTGAAGAACTGCACAACTCAAAAACAATACAGCACCTAATAAAATCCAGTGGAATCATCAGCAAAAGAATCACACTACCGAGCACCAAAAGGTTGCCATGCCAGTGTGCTAGTATCAGTGCCAGGCAAACTTCTCTGAGGAATGTATTCAGCCAACTGGGCACCACTGAATAGAACAGCTTGCAGCTGCACCGATACCCACCTTATTTGGTAGGAGAGCCTGGCAGAGGAAGGCCCCCAGAGAGTCACCACAGGAGGAGGAGGAGGAGGGACAGTCCTTCAGGTAACAGGATGATGACCCCAGAGTATGGAAGGAGGGAGAAGCAGCGCTCCGAGAGGGTTGCCAGCTGCCCATGCAGACGGCTATTCTGCCATAGGATGACAGCCTGAGCCAGCTCCTATGACTCCAGGCAATCTCGCCCTTGCCCCCCCACCCTCTTTTGGGTTATCTGGCATTTCGGTGCCATTTGCAAAGGCAGCCGCCCCATGTATAATACATTGCAACAATCCAATCAGGGGGTTAACAGAGCATAGCTAATTGTCGCCCTTGCCAGGCTCCCTCAAGCAAAACCAGAGTTAAGAAGGAACAAATCAATCCTCCTCACCATGCAAAATGCCTTCAAGTGGGAGCTCACCATTGCATGCCATACCACACCAACAAGAAATGCTCTGGTAGCCTGACTACTGTGGAGGGGTCTTAAAGCCCCCATTGGTAACTTAAAAGAACCTTCCAAATCTCAACATAACCAATCTCTGACAGGGAAAGCACACCGAGGTCAGTGCTTTCAGAATGAAAAAAGATACCAGTGTACTTGAAGGGGGAGAAAAGTCACACCAGTAATCAGCATCATTAATCCTATGATGCTAATATCCTGCTGTGAGGCGTGACTGCAACAGGAACCAATGTGATTTTAGGCTGCGTTGGTAGAACCTTAGTTTTCAAGTCCCAATAAAGAAGAGCGCCATGTTATTCTGCGCCAACCTGGCCTTCACTGGAACACGGCTGTGCTTCTGGGTGCAGCCCTGAAGGAGGATAAAGATAAACTGGAATACGCTCGGAAGAGAGAAAGGACGATGGGCATGGGCACGGACAGAGGGCTTTCCTCTGAGTCGAAGGGACTGGGCACATGTAGCCCCGAGAGGAGGCCGATGCTCTGGAGAGCCTCATGAGAAACCTCCTGATGGTTCGTCAACAGGGTTGAACCTGAGCATGGGGTGGGGAGTGGCTGGAGCCAATGGCCTCTCCCCCCCCCCCCAACTGGAGGCCCTGAAGCAAAAGCAGGGTTTGCAAAGCCGTGGGCTGCCTCTTCCGCCTGCCACAACTCAAGCATAGCTTGGAGAAGGCAGGAGCAAACCAGGAGAGAAAGAAGGCCAGTCCGGTACCAAGAGCCAACCGGAATGAGCCAGGAGTTTGGCTCAAAAGGCCCACCAGATCCTATGGCAATGAGCCAGGACAGAAATGCAAGGCAGGCCAGAGTTCACAAAGGATGTGTGGCTCCAGGGAGGCTCCACTGTAACAAGTTGCACCAAAGCACTTTCGACACCACGTCCTAAGCAGAAGCACACAATGGACACCAGCTGCTGCTTTCCTGGTGCGGTCTGGAGGGATGCAGGACGTGCTACAAGGAGGCTCCTAGTGGGGTCCTCCTCAGCCACAAACACACACACACAGAGTTTTAGCTGGTTCCACCAGGACCTTTGCTGCGGCCACCTTTCCTCCTGCATGCTGTCCACACAGCAGAGCTCCTTCCCCACCCAAGAACCCCTAGGCCAGCATGAACCAAGGAGAGCTGGCTCCGTGTGCCTTCCATCTCCAGCGGCAGGCCGGTACTCTCTAGCTGCTGCATTAGATCATTCTCATTTTAAAGACAAAACAGTGAAGGAAGACCAGAAGGAATGGGAAGATCCTCCCTTACAGAGCCCAGATAAGGAGGCGGGTGGGAAAGCAGCTTTGGGTCATTAAGGAAAGTGCCTCATGAGGCTTGAGTCGTCAGCTTCCTAAGCCTCTCTTGGCTTACCAGGGGCTCCATGGTGAAGATGTGGTTGTTGAATAGCATCGCATCTTCCTGCACCGTTGCCTGGCGGTTCTGAAAGGTCCGGGTGACGATAGAGAGATGCTCCCGAAGGGCAGGGTTCATATTGCAGTCGGCCAGAAGCTGGTCAAGCAGGCACTCTTCCTCTGCCTGCAGTGTGTGGCACAGCCTGGAGCCATGGGGAAGGAGACAGGGAACACGTCACAACGTGGGTCAAGGAGGGTGTCCCCTGGAGCCATGGGGAAGGAGACAGGGAACAAGTCACATCGTAGGTCAAGGAGGGTGTCCCCCCCAAAAAAAGGTGGAAAACCAGCGGTCAGCCCTGCAAGCACATGGTTGCTCTAGCCAGGGAGTTCAAACCGGAGAGGTGCACTCCTGGCATCTCAACATTCTCTCTGTTATTTGCAGGCAGAGACACTGTGGGGACCCTCTTCCATTGTCTCCTCAAAAGGAAGGCTGAGCCTTCTGCTGCTTCAGAAAGAAAGCAGCTACCATGATGGCAGGATAACCCAGCAGCCCAGCAGGATGATTAGAGACGAATCAGGTCATCAGAACCCAGGCACCCCCTCCCTCTCCTGACACCCTCTGCATCTCCTCGTTCAACAAGGCGGGGAAAATGATAGGAGGAGGACCACCACCGAAGGACCCCAGGCAGCCCCTGTGGAAGGACTGGCTGACTCCCAGCCAGCCTGGGGAGAGGCTTTGTCAACCAGACACAGATTCACTAAGAGGCCGTAGGGAGGCCAAGGCAACGTCCCATGGAACTGGTCACTTGGTGAAGACGCGGACTCCCTCCGCGGGGCCCCTTTCCCAAGATGGTACAGACCCCCACACACACACGCACACACACCTTCCTGCAGATGGGGCCTCCCTGCCTAATATGGCTTAGGGGCAAGCTTTCTCCCAACCTGTGCAGGGCGAATGGGAATCTGGAACCCCACACACACACACACACACACACACACACCTTCCTGCAGATGGAGCCTCCCTGCCTAATATGGCTTAAGGGGCAAGCTTTCTCCCAACCTGTGCAGGGCGAATGGGAATCTGGACACATTAAGTGTGTACATAAAGTGTGTTTAGTCTGTACACAGATGTGCACGTCGATGCAAGCGTGGCCAAAGCTCTCACACAGCACTTGACATACTGATATGCTTGCAACCCCCCGAGGCCCACAAACGGATCATTGCCTGTGAAGCACCTCTCCCCCTTCAAGGTATGAACCGGAGGCAGGCCTTGGGGAAACCAGCCGAGCCTTTCAGCTTACTTTTGCTTTTTCTGCTCCTCCTCTTCTGGGGTGGCAAAGGCCTTCCACTGGAAATGTGCAATGATGCTGCTCCTGTTGTGAATCACCACAGACCTCTGGTTGGCCAAAGTTATGTAGGTTTTCTCAACGGTCAGGGAGTTCTTGTCCAGCCGCACGTTGACGTCTGCAGCCGCTCCATATAAGCTGACATGGACGTCTTCCCCTAGCAGAGGCAGCCAGGGAGAGAAAGGGTGATGGGTCTGCTCAGCAAAGAGGACCCAAGCTTTCCTGGCATAGGGCTCAGTTTTAACAAACTTCACAAAGCATAGGCAAAGGTAAAGACACGGGCACCCCATGAGGCTCCATGCGTCCTATGGGCACTGAAGCTGCATCTGGCTTAAGGTGATAAACAGCCTCAGAAAGTCAAGACTTTGAGCTGATGGTCTCCCTGAGAGAAAACAGTGGCAATGTTGGACTCCAAAAAAGAGAAGAGGAAGAGGAAGAGAAGAGGAAGAGGAAGAGGAAGAGGAAGAGGAAGAAGAAGAAGAGGAAGAGGAAGAGGAAGAGGAAGAGGAAGAGGAAGAGGAAGAAGAAGAAGAAGAAGAAGAAGAAGAAGAGGAAGAGGAAGAGGAAGAGGAAGAGGAAGAGGAAGAGGAAGAGGAAGAGGAAGAGGAAGAAGAAGAAGAAGAAGAAGAAGAAGAAGAGGAAGAGGAAGAGGAAGAGGAAGAGGAAGAGGAAGAGGAAGAGGAAGAGGAAGAGGAAGAAGAAGAAGAAGAAGAAGAAGAAGAAGAAGAAGAAGAAGAAGAAGAAGAAGAAGAAGAAGAAGAAGAAGAAAGGGGGGGAGAATAAAAGTTGTTTAAACCAGTTTCAATGCTGAAGGGGAAAAAAGGAAAGAAAACTGGATCTGAAGATGGGCTTCCCAGATCTTGTTGTCTGATGGAAGAGGAAAAGCCAAAGGGAAATGGGGAAGCACGGCTGGTGCCGGACTCACCTGTGTCGTAATGCACCACCAGGTCCTCACTGTGGTTGCCACTTCTTTGGGGCTGGAATTCCACCATGAACTGCATGGTCTCCCCCATAGCAAGGGTCCCAATGGAGGGCTCCACAGAGAAAGGTCTGCCGTGCCAAGGAGAAAGAACCGCAATGAGACCCCTTCCTTTCAGCCTCTTCAAATGCAGGCCATGTGGTAACAGCATGCCCAAGTAGGGAGAGGCTCCCGACATGGCTCAAAGGCCTCCACGAGTGGCAATTTAAATGGGTCACAGGGGCCCCAAATACCCATCTCACCGACGCTGGTCCCAGTGTCAGTGTGGCATTTTTGGCATTCCCTGGGCAGCTGCCAACGGGTTGCAGGGGCAGCAAATTCACCCTGAATCCAAAAATGTTGCCCTCCCCATTCAAAGTTACTGGGCAGGAGGGAGAGCAAGGGGCTGAGGGCTACCTCTATTCACTGTAGTCAAAACTCAACAAGAGCTCCTGAAGCCAGGCCGGGGGGGGCATTAGCCCCACATCTGGGCAACCTCAAGGCAGGTCAGCTGAAGCCACTGCCAGCTGCACGGACTCCAGCTGAGGACCAACTCCACCCTCCTCCTGGTTTGGACAGAAAACTCAGGGTTTTACCTCCGTGTGGTGATCTGGTAGTGGGCCTCTCGGTTGCCAATGTTGCGCACCAGCAGTGTTTTCTGTGTATTGTACTTGACAGGGCAGGTGGCAAAATTCAACTGGTCTGGGAAGTCCAGGATGCCTCTGGCCCCAATGGCTCGGATGGGGACGATAAACTTTTCCCTTTCAGTAATGCAGGTCACTTCGTGGAAGTAATCCTGCAGGAGAGGAAGTTAAACAGGAAGGAGGTCCCATCTCACCCCTTCCTAGAGCATGGGCAGAATGGTCTTGGTCGAAAGAAAGCTCAAACTGGGAGCTTCCATGGCAAAAGGGCAACCAAGCCGTAGCACCCGGAGCTGTCCAAGGCGTTCACAAGCTTCCCATCTTTACACCCTCCCACTTTGCTTTGTTTCTCCCTATCCTGGCAATCTGGCAGAAGGCCTGGACCTTCTTGGGTCTTCTAATTCGTTGGACGCTATCCTCTCTTGGCCGCATGCCCAGGGGTGAAGGCAGCTCAGCCGTTTCCCCATTCCACCCGCTTTCTGATACAGAGGCCCACAACAGTTGTGCCCTCTCAGGGCAGGGCAGTGAGGTTTCCTTTGGCGGCTTTATCTGTACAGACGGAGCAAGCCAACTGATTCTGCAACCCTTGAGGTGGAACTTGAAACAGGCGCACCTCAAGCTGATTCTTTAATTTTGCCCTTTCCATCTTGGACCTTTGGTTTCATTACAGAACCTTCTGCAACAATGCCTAGCCAGGGCGATTTCAGAACTTTTCTCCCCTGCAAGCCAACTTGGTAATCAAGAACGCTCTAGGACTTGAAAGCTAGCCTGCATGTTATACTGTGGTGGTCCAATAAGATATTACCTTCTCCCTGGGTTTCTGAATTCTCCAAAATTACTCTAGGCCTCCCATTTGTCTCAAAAGTTTATGGCATCAGAAGCCTCCTCTTACAGAAACCTACACACACACACCCCCCTCGTTCCACCAGCATTGGCCCTTGCAGGAGGCGAAAACAGGTGGAGTGCTTTGGCAAGCTTTTATTTCCAGAATTACAGGGGAGAAAGGTGAGGAGGAAAGAAGCAGGGCCCACAAGAGAAGCCCTTTCCACACGAGGGCTGTTTCTGGTTCCCAGATCTCCTGCTCCCTCTTTTGCAAACACAGCCACATCTTGTCACCCCAGCTTCCCACCCAAAGGGGCAAGGATGGCCTTGCCTTATTCTCCTCTGGAGTGAAGAGGATGCGGAAGGTTGAGGGCATGCCAGGCGCGACCTTGTTGCATACGTCGTTCGGGCTGATGACCCGGAAATAAGGTGAACTCTCCAGGACAACTTTCACCAGGCGTGGGATCTATAGGACAGACAGAGGGACGTCGTGAAGAGGGCACCCCAAGAGGGCTCCTTTGTGTACCTGTGAGCAGCCACCAAAAGTTCCTCTGCCTCCCTGTCTTTTAACTAAGGAATGGGGTGGGGGAGCTAAATGGACTCAACATGGGAGCCATCCTTGATTTAATCAGAAGAAGCAGGCAAACCTTACATTCGGACTGATTTGGGCCAAGCTACACAAGAAGACTGAAGGTCCAGCTGCTCTCTTAAATAGCAACTTAGGGAAAGCTATAGGAGGGGAGCAAAATCGACTCAGGGCAGGAAAGCCATTTCTGACTGTTCCAAGCAATCTCTTATTTGATAGGAAACGAGCGTTAAGGGATGCAGAGTGCATATAATCTGATCATGATTGCTCAGTTAAGCAAAGAGCACACAGGCTGCAGGCGGCACAGAACCCCTGGCAAAAATGCACCCCCTGAGTAATGGCTGGCCATCAGGGAGCCTTTGGGTCATGATAACAAACAAATGAAGGAACACAACACACAATAAAGAGGAAAGGGTGCGGAGGAAGCCACAGCTTGGACTGCCTCTGTTCCAGCCTCTGTTCCCAAGAAGTACCATTTGCATGTCTCCCCCCCCCCAGGGAAAACTCAAGGCACCATCTCCAAGGAACCCTAGGCAGTTCCCCATCCAAATAGCCCCAGACCCAGCAAGCTTCACCAAGCTGGCTTCATTTCTGCCTTCAAACCACCCCATGGCAAGCATGGTAACCAAGGAAAAGTAGCACCACCACCAGCAGCAGCAATCATAGTAATAGGTCTTACTATGCAGTGAGAAGGGAATCTGAAAATAGGGCATTTGGAGGCAGGATTAAACCAAAACCTCATCAAGGTTTCTGGTTACCTTCATGCAGGCCATTTGGCTTCCTCAGATTTGTCCCATAGGGATAGCTATCCTTTTTTCTGTAGGTATTCTATTTGCATCTTTGGTAAGATCCACATGGCAACGGAAACTCACTGGGAGAGTGGAACTCCTTAAATATCTCACGTACCTTGAAAACCCCATTAGAATGGCTGTAACTCAGTTCCGACTTGACGGCACCGTACACACACCCCTATATACCTCAGCAGAGTTCCTTCCTCATTTCCTTGACTCTGGAACATGCACGTACACCTCCAGCAGAGGAATAGCATGTCATCCCCCCCCCAAGCCTAAGTTCAAAGACCTCCTTGGCTTCAAATAATGTGGCTTTAAGGGCAAACATGGCCCACAAATGAAAACAGGACCAAAATTGCTGCAGCTGAGACAGCAGTGAAGGCTGATCCCTAGTCATCCACAGCATTAATCACGACATCCAGAGAGGATGGCAAAATGGGAGAAGCACCGCATCCCCTGAAAAGTTCACCAGGACTGTAACTTTGCAGTGAGGAACAAGCAGGCTCCAGTCCTCCCCTTCCATATGGCAGTTCTGCAGTACAGAGTCAGACCCAACCTTGCTCCCCACCTCCAAACCATGTTCACATTCCAGTAACATCACATACTTTGTCATTGTTCCTCAGAATCAGGGGCACTTCGTAGAGTTCACATGGTGCATAGTTCTGGAAAATAATTTCTGACGGGAAGGGCTGGAACAGAGTTTGGTCCAGATCAATGGAGGAGAACTGCAAAAACAACAACACAGAATTAAAGTTCGAGCAGTGTCTCCATTCATGGGTGGAATTCTATTTTTCCTCAGAGGAAAAGGTATGACTTCAGGAGCGAGGTGGCCCTCTAAGCTTGTTTCCACCGAGACACCAAAACAGACGTTCTATGGCTTAGTTCTGTTTTCTCGGTCTGTCAATGAGCACCACTGTGCACCACCCTCTGCTCCTGAATTCCTACATGTTCACCCTTCACCCCTCCCAAGCTGCCTTCTGGGGGGCTACATCTGCGATGCCCAAGGATTTACCCAAACCACGCCTGTGAATTTACAGGCACAGATTCACAGTTAGAAACGAGGTTGACCTTTCAAACCGAACTGTGGTGCCCCTCAACAGGTCCATGTTTGCCACCCACGGAGTTGGCACTGCTTGTGGTGGGCAGTGGCAGCTTCGAAGCCCCCAGTCCTCCTCCTTCTAGGGCTCTCCCTTTTTTAAAGCATACTGGGACGGACCAGCCCATGAAACAAAAGTGTGGTTCCCCAGCTGCCCTTCAAATGGAGGACCAGCTTCCCTATAACAGGACATGGGGCTACCCTGGTGTGGAATCGCATCATCAGGCAACTTGCATAAGCTTCCTGCTTGCACCTTGTTTATTCTGTGGCCATCTTTCTTTCATTAAAATATGTATAAACCACTCTCCTGCTCTTTCCTGCACTGCCTGTACATAATACATGTTAAAACAGTTTACAACAACCTCCAAATTCAATGAAGATTAAACAGCACAATCCTTTGTATATTTACTCTGAAGAGAGTCCCACTGCGTGTCCAGGAGGGATTGCATGAGTTGTACATTTTTGAGTGACTTGAGTAAATGCTGAACTTAGGTCCTGGTTCTCATCTTATTTTCATAAAGAAAATGATTTATTTTCCCCACCATAATTTCTTTCTATGCAGCTTCTGTGGTTACAGGGTAATCAGCCCAGCAACTGATTCCTCTGAACGTTTACACACACACAGAAAGTCTTGCTGCTTGTTTCAGAGAAGGCTGAAAGAACCTGACATACATTTGCTTGAAAGCAAGATCAAGGCAGAGTCCAGGCCTCTGTCAATATCATGCCAGAGAAGTGAGAGAAGAGAAACTACCTTCTGGTGTGAGGTTTCGCTCATATCCAAAAGCTGGATGATGCGAGGAAGATGAACCTCGTGGGTGCTGGCCAGCTTCTGCTCCGTGGTCAGTGACATCTCTTTCAGAAAGGCGGACGGTGTCAGCTGCAGAAGCAAAGCCCCATAAACGACTATATTTTCAAACAGGCTTTCCTTGTTAAGCAACCTTGACTCCATGCATTGGGTGGGATGAAGCCCTACCGAAGCACCTAACCAATAAAGCTTGTTAGTCTTTAAGGTGCATAGTTCTGGAAAATAATTTCTGATGGGAAGGGTTGGAACAGAGTTTGGTCCAGATCAATGGAGGAGAACTGAAAATAAATAAGCCTGTTTGCTGAGGCATGGGTCCAAATTCTCCCTTTATGATCCTGCCCAGGTGTTAAGATCATCAGGAGAGGCCCTTGGCTGCTCCCAGACTCTGGAACTCTCTCCCACTGGACTCCAGGCTGGCCGCATCTTGGCTGTCCTTCCGCAAGCAGGCCAAGGACTTGCTCTTCATGCAGGCTTTCTCTCAGTGAGTGGACACCTGAGAGGTTTGTTTATTTTTTTTAATGAATTATTATGCATTACTGCTTTGAATGTGTTTTTAGTATTGCTTTTGCTTATCATTTCTCAGAGTGGTATTTGTTCCTTTTAAAAATGTTTTTATACTCATTGTTTTTAGCTTTAAATGTAGTCTTTTAATGATGTAAGGTGCCTTGGATCCTTTTTAAGGAGAAAAGTGGGGTAGTAAGTAAGTAAGTAAGTAAGTAAGTAAGTAAGTAAGAAGTAAGTAAGTAAGTAAGTAAGTAAGTAAGTAAGTAAGTAAGTAAGTAAGTAAGTAAGTAAGTAAGTAAGTAAGTAAGTAAGTAAGTAAGTAAGTAAGTAAGTAGTTCTGAAGGGACAGTGTTTCTCAAGAGAAAGTAAATTAAGGAACAGTGTTTCTCAAGAGAAAGCAAATTTTCTTTCCCTTTAACATGTTATTTGATCTTTAGCATCCCACATTAAGGAACGTATTCTAGCCTAAATGTGACATGGTGGAAAGGCTTGAAAATATTCAAAGTTTGGTCAGACCAATCGTTATTCACATGCGCTCTTCCAGAGGTGTTTGCCCACATAGTGGTTCAGATGGAGAGCGAACGTATGGGTTCGTTCTGTGAGGAAATGCATTTGGTCAGATTGCAAACAAGCTTACTGGCACGTCCTTCTTTTTCTCTTTTTTGACCAGCTTTGGATTGCGAGGCGCCACCACTTTGCTGTGAAATCCTTCCTGTGACTTGCAGGGACCCAGAGATTTCTGGACTCGGTCTGCCAGCATCCTCGCGCCGTCTGTCAGAGCTTCTGGAAAAACAACAGCAACACCCTTGTTTTCAACAACTGGACAAAAAAGGCTCAGAATTTGAGGGTCTCTCTCTCTCTCTCTCTTCCTGCCTTCATGGCCTGCTCAGAGATCATCGGGGGCAAGTACACGCCTGACTCCCCCAGCGCTGACCCTTTCTTCCAGACCAAGGGCAAATTCAGGTGGGAGGCCAACAGAGAAAGAGAGGCGGTGAAGGAGCTCCCCTCAAGAGATACAGAGGACTTTGCACTTGCTGTCAGGCAAAAACATTCAGAATACCCCCCCTCCACTCCCATGTTCAATGTGCCAACACACACACACACACACACACACACACAAAACACCCAGTCTGGGTCCGAACGTGCTGCCCAGAGAGGGTGGCTCAGACCCACCTGCCCTCCCATCCACAATTCGTCCTTTCCAGAAGGCACACTCGATATTATATGGGAACTCAAACAAAGGGGTTGTGACCCTGTGCTGGGGGGGGGATGCACAGATGCTCCAACTCTGGGGGAAAAGCAACCTTCCCCCCCCACAAAAAAAAAATCCTTCCAGCCCCAAGGTGGGATCCTGGCCCCACACGGGCAGTGGGGCTCCTTCCACCACCACAGACCTGCTCCTCGCCTCCAGTCCCAGGCGGAAGGAAGCCAGGGGCCCACATCCGTCTGGGCTGTTATTCTGGTTCCCGTAGCAACCGGGCCTTCTCCCAGGCAGGTGCATACACAGAACTTTGGCTGGAGGCCTGTTGGCGCCATGGCAACCGCCCAGCCATCCCTGACAGGCCCAGCCAAAGCCTTGAGGAGGAAGAGGAGGGAGACCCAGGGGATGAAGGATTCTGGAAGTAACACTAGAGATCATTCCCCCCCCCCCAAACTGGGAGGCAGGCTCAGGCAGGCCAGCTGTTGGCAAGGCATGGAGATTTTTCGGTGTTTTGCGCATGGAAGGGAAGGCAAGAGCCAGCCAGCGGAAACAGCCTTTGCAAGGGGGAAATGGAAAGAGCCCCTTCCAACTCCCCCCATTATGTGATTCCATGTGATCATGGAACCCCCTGGTGGGATGAAGAAAACCAGTCGTACACAAACCCCTCTGCACACAAAGCGCCTGCCAGCTGACAGAGCAGGGTGCCCGGGAAGTGCCCTTGCTTGGCGCATCCGGGGCTTGTGTCGTCTCAAGCATGCTGGAAACCTGACAAGCTGCCCCACTCCTCCACAAGATCTTTTGGGGCGACGGTATTCAGGCTCTCAAAGGAACGCTGTAGGCCTTCCACTCCTCCACAAGATCTTTTGGGGCGACAGTATTCAGGCTCTCAAAGGAACACTGTAGGCCTTTAGGAACTTAGGTTATCCCCCCCCCCATCTCGGTATCCAAAAAAGTGACGTTGGTTTTGAACCGTGAATGACCAAACTGACCGAAGGAGAGTGGTGAGGGGGACACCCACCCTCTCCCAGCAGATTTATTCCACTGTGACCTTTTCTGGATCCTGTCCCCTCCTTCAGACCTGCAGGTGGGCCACCTGTTTATATAACAGGTGCCTGGTATTTTGGAGGGAATCCACTGGCTTAGTAACACTTTGGCTGCAGGTGGTTTCTTCAGAAAAGGATGCAAGGGACCCACAGGAAGGGCACCGTCCGGCGAGCTCAGAGTCCTAAGGACAGACGTGGCTTCCCCATTGTTTGCCACACTTTGGCGCCGGCGGTGAGGACAAGGAGATGGCCATGGTGCCAGCCTTTCTGCCTTCACCACAATGGCCCACCTTGAGTCTGCCATGCAGGAAAAGCAGACCTAACAGGGCCTGTGGGGAGAATGTCAAGCTTGCAATATGGGTCTCATGTGCGCTTCCCGCTGAAGGAATGCTTCGCTGCGGGAAAAAGGACGTCGCCGATCAGCCAGAAATCCTCGTGCCACTGTGCAAGGGACGGACACCACTGCATTTAGGTTCCTACAAGACTGGAGCCCCCAAAGCCCATCTGAGTCCCCTTGCTCCTGCCTTCCGGCTCTGCCTCTGCCCAGCTTCACCCCAGGAGTCAACTAACCCGAGGAATGGAGTCCCCAAGAGATAAATCCAGTCTCGCAGGATGGAAGCACTGGAGCCCTCCCGCGGTTGGGGAGAATACTTTGGCAGAATCAAAAGGTAACTCCACTTATATCAGTCAGAGCTCTCTGCTTCCACAGCCTGCTCCTCTGACCAACATAAAGACAGGCTAATGTCCAAAACTGCACACACCCCTTCGCACCCAGCGGTGGCCTTGTTATGTCCTTTAGCCCTCTGTGAGAAGGATGGCGCCCCTCAGCCAGTCTGAATCCAACTCCCTCAGAACCTTCTAGAACACGGGCAGCATGGCACACCTCCCTGAGGGAGGCTTTGTTGTTTAGTCGCTAAGTCGTGTCCGACTCTTCGTGACCCCGTGGACCAGAGCACGCCAGGCCCTCCTGCCTTCCACTGCCTCCCGGAGTTGGGTCAAATTCATGTTGGTCGCTTCAATGACCCTGTCCATCCATCTCGTCCTCTGTCGTCCCCTTCTCCTCTTCCCCTCACACTTTCCCAACATCAGGGACTTTTCCAGGGAGTCTTCTCTTCACGTGAGATAGCCAAAGTACTGGAGCCTCAGCTTCAGGATCTGTCCTTCCAGTGAGCACTCAGGGTTGATTTCCTTCAGAACAGATAGGTTTGTTCTCCTTGCCATCCAGGGGACTCTCAAGAGCCTCCTCCAGGTGCGGAGGGAGGCAGCTGGAGCTAATTGCCAATTAGGCCTTTGGTCAGGACGACCTTGGCTGCCCAGCCTCACTCCCCCAACAGCTGAGCCTCAAAGGGTCCGACATTGCATTTCCTCACAGAACGAATGCACACGTTCACTCTCCATCTGAACCACTATGCAGGCAAACACCTCCTCGGGAAGAGGACATGTGAATAACGATACAAGTCTGCAAACTGACCGTCCGTACACATGCACCCAGGCGGTGCAGGTGTTGCATGTGGCATTTGGACGCCTGAAGGGAGAAAGGGGCTTGCACGCCACGGTGAAAGGTGGGGTCCTGCTCTTGTTATGGGCTTGGTTCCCCCCCTCAGTCTACCTCTGGCATCTGCCTGAGGGGCTTTCCCCCTCAAACGATTTCCACCCATGCTCCTTGGAGCTTTCCTCCTGACTCCCCCCCCTCAGGTGAAACGATGCCTTCTCCTGCCCTCTTTCCTGTCCAGCCCCAGAAAAGCAACCACATTTTGTGCCAAACCCTTGCTTAACGCCACCTCTTGCTTCGTCTCAGCCACCATGGGGTGGGTCTGCCTTCCCTCACACCCCAAACGGGCTCCCCTTGCTCTTTCCCTCTCTTGCTTTCCCCCTCCCCCCGGAAAGGCTGTCCTTTTTTCTTTTTCCTCAGCCACACTGTAAAGTGCCAGGGGTGTCAACCCCACATCAAGAACAACAAGAGCAGATAAAGGGGCCTCAGAGCACTCCTTGTGAGTCCTAAGGGTTAGGGTCTTACCAGGAGTCATGGAGGATTAAACCGAGGTGAGCGTCTCTTTGGCCGGCCTTCCTCTAAGGCCTTCCCTGGAGGATTAAACCGAGGTGAGCGTCTCTTCGGCCGGCCTTCCTCCAAGGCCTTCCCCCCCCTTCCTTGTTTGCCAGTGTTGCTAAGGTGACAGCTTACAAGCCTGGCTTCAGGTTCTCCCCTCCTGAATGGCTCCGGGGACACAACCTGCTCACAGGAAACGTGTTTCCTCGGCAGCCGATCTCACAGTGACCCTCCCCACGGCAAAGACATTCCCTTTATCCCTTTTCCAAACACTCCCAGGCTGTCCGGGGTCCCAGGAGGAAGAGCAGGACAAGCCTTGCAGCGCAGCTCCCATCCTGGAGGGCACCAGCCAGCCTGGGCCCACATTTTAGTTTGGTTGCAAAGCCGCCTCTGAAACCCCTTTTGCTTCCCTCCTTCAACCGAGGCTGTCGTACTTGGGACACATCATGGGAAGAGGGGATTCGCTGGAGAAGACGGTAAGGGAAGGTGGAAAGTGGCAGGAAAAGAGGATGATGAAATGGGAGAAGGACTGTCTCCCTGAAGGAAGCCACAGGCTTGCGTTTGCAAGAGCTGAGCAGAGCCGTTGAGGACAGGGCAGTTTAGAGATCAGTCACTTGTGGAGTCACCATAAGTCAGGAGCCACTGGATGGGATGTAATACCAACAAAACGGTGATCATTTCAATTGTTTTCTTTCATTCCTCTTTAATGACAATTGTAATGATTTCATTGTTCAGTTTATTTCTAGTGACACTGTTTGCAGCAGCAAATGCTCTTTTTTTTCCCCAACCAGAAAGTGTGTGTGGAAAGAGGAAATGGGGCAATAATTGAACACATGCCTTGGTGCAGGTGCATGTGAACGAATCCTAGAGCTGATTCAGTTCGGATGAATCCTGCCGCCTTGATTTTGTGCTCTCTGCCTGTCCCTTTCTCTGTGGCTGCTCAGCCTTCTCCTCCTTTCACTGACTGCTCCGAAGAAGCTCGTGCAAAGCAGACTAGTGAAGCAAAAAGATCATTTCAAGACAGAACAGGCCTCGCTTCCACCTTCCTTGGCAGATTTGTCCTGCTAACAAGGCACTGAACTGGAAGAAGTAAAATATTTATATAGATGGAAGTGTATCATTTCCTTAATTATTAATACAGATGTTCAGCCGCCTTCAAAGGCCTGGAGGGCTGTGGTCTCCTCCCCCGTCTCCTCCCTAAACACCACAGGAAGGACTTGCCTGGGAAGGGGGTCTTTCCACCTGCCCTCCAGCAAGAAAAATCCCCCTCAAAGGCAGCCCTTCCTTGAAACCTGTGAGGCAGAAGAGAGATTGCAGGTTCTCTTGTAGCCTTTATACGCACAGCGTAGGAGCCAGGCGAAGAGGAAATGTGGCAACCCTACTAACATGGAAACTGAAGAACTGTGCCCCGAGGATCCGAATCCCAGACAAATTGTGCCAGGAGGAGGCGTCTCTGCGCGGCGCTGTCAATGACATTGCCTGATGTCCTCTGTGCAGAGTTTGGCAAATTAGCTGTTCAGAGTAATCCAGCCTGTTATTCATTCCAAACCCACGATGTACTTTGTTGTTGCTGATGCTGGGGATTGGGGGAGTCTGGTAATGCCCTGCCCCGCTTTCACTTTCTGGATGCCCCTCTGCATTTGCATAATGGATGAGCAAGCACCGCTAGATAATGGAAACCACTTCCACCGGCCACCTGGGACGGCGTCGTCATGCCATCTACTACGGTCTACATCCAAGCCCTGCTATACAGCCACGTCTGCTCAGCCCCATCAGGCAGAGCCTCAGGATTTTCTACCAGGCAGGCAGGCAGGCATTTCTCAGATTGTCATGTGAGCCCTACGAGGTTGAGGGGCAGGGAGAAATCAATAGGGCTGGGCTAACAGCCAGAGATAAGCCCAGATGAAGCCGTGGCTCTGAAATGAAAGGCAGTACAACTGCACAACCCAGATGGAGCCATGCAAAGGGTCCACGCAGAACAGCCAATTTATACCAGAAATGTTCAATATAGAATAGCAGGAAGGCAAAGCCTATGATGGGCAAAACAGCGAGGCAGATCCTGCCCTGTGTGTCCTATGGTCTTCTTTGGACGCCAGTCTTCACAGAATCCTCATAACTCCGGGCAGCCATCATCCTGTCTCCTGTCATCCTATAAGTACATATTCCTTGCTTCAGGAACTGCTTTATAGCTCCCCGATCAGAGTGTTCCCTCTCTTGAATCTTCAGGTCGCTGGTGCTGCCGCCAGGAAGAGCTAGCTAGAAACTCTCTCGAACATCTCAGCATTCCTTCTCTCTTAATTAACCATTGATGTCTGAAAAATCTTTGATTTGGGACTAGGTCAGGTATCCATGGCAACATGCTTCCCCCCCCCCAGACAATTACTGTCATTGCAGGGATGGAAAGGACATCCCACAGGCTTTCTAAATCTCCCTTGCATTTTTGGTGCCAGCGGCAGGCGGAGTGGGAAGCAAGACCTGCAAAGACCCCGGACGGTAATGGGCTCCAAAGACAGAGAAAGCCTCTTGACAGCACCAACGCAGAGCAAGACTTGCGTCTTCTCAGGAACAAAGAGCATCTCCCAGGAAGGAAGCACTCAAAAAGGGACAACGATATGGCCAGGAAATGTGGGTGGCTGGTGGTGGACGGAGGCTTCGCTGATCCAGGCGCTGCTGCTGCTGCTGCTGCTGCCACAAGGCATACCAAGGGGGCACTTGATTTCTGCCAATATGGCAGTGGGTCTTCTGTATCGATCAGGGATCCTTCAACCCACAAACCAGTATTTGCACAGCTAAAGTGTCTGGGATTAGCAAATCACCCTAAAAGTGTTGCTGAGAAGACAATGTGACCCTGTGAAGACAAGGAGTTGGGAACGTGCAAGACTTTCCAAGCTGGCTGTTAGCCATGCTGGTGATGGGTAGGGCTGTCATGTTCCCCACCCATGTTTCCAGTGAGTGACTTTTTAAAAAAAGAAGAAGCTCCCAATTGTCTGAAAGAGGCTTCTGGTGAACTTTGAGCTGCACCTTTGCTTCCACGGAGGGAGGTGCTTCTCCTCTTCCTGGAGCTGCTTCTGACTGACAGAAGAACCTCTGCAACTCTGCAAGGGGACAGAGGGGGCGAATGTCGCCTCCCGCAGTGACCTCTGAGTTGGCGGAAGGAAGCCTCTGCTCCCTCGCTCAGTGAAAAATGAGCCAGCTGGCAGGGCTGGTGAGGGTCACGTGATGCTTGTGTGGGTGAGAGACCTCTCCTGCAAAGCTGATGTCTTAAGGACTGGCAGCCCAGCAGAGCACGTGCCAGGCCGGGATGGACAGAAAGGACACGGCCGGCACTTTCCTCTTCCATGAGATGAAAGGCTGGCTGAGCATCTGTTATGATGGATGGATACACCCACCCTGGGAATCTGGACACCTGGCATATGAAGGGCAGATGAGGGGGGCAGTAGCAATGTCCTCTGCGAATGGATACCAGTCAGCAACCTCTCCTTTCATCAGCAGTTAGGGAACATATTGGAGTCATTTTCTTTTCTGCAAGACAGAAATAATTAGTCTTTCTTGATATCCGTAGGAAACTTTAGCCAACTCCGTGTTTCCCACTGGGTACCCATGTACCCCTGAGCCCCCATGAGCAGCCAGTGCTCCCTGAAAATGCAATTCATAGTCTGAGTAAGTTATGTGCTGTCATGTCATAATCAACACTCCTAGCATGTCCAAGGGCCAGCATGTCCTGGAAGGTGCTGCTGCCAGGAGCCACGAACCAGACCTTGTGTGGCTTCCTTGAAGGCTGCCCCTCTGAAGAGGGGACTTTCCTGTTTTCTTCATGGCCACCAGGGGCTGCCCAGAGAGAACTCAGTGGTTAAGGCATCTGGCTGCAGATGTGATTTCCCACCCACCCCCCACTCCCCGGGCCTCCTTGACAAGGGCAGGACTCAGCTCTCCATAGGGTCCCTTCCAGCTCTGCAGTTCTAAGATTATTAATATTCGAAGGCAAAACAAAGTCTACATGAGGTGATGCAGTGAAGTCCGCCTCTGGCCACACCTGATGCTGCTCGGCTGTATCCTCTCTCTCCTGCTCCTCAGCTCCTGTCATTTCCTCCTTAGCCGTCACAGGCTTGTCACAACACTGAATAAAGTCCTCAAAGGTTTGCCACCCCAAGGGTTTCCAGGGAAGGATGATGGCCCTTGAGCCTCTGCTTGATGCCTGGGCCTGCCTCTGTTTTCCTGCTGGCAGCTGGACGGGCTGGCACTCTTTAGCAAAGGAGGGCCTCCGTTTCTGGAAGGTGTGTGTGTGTGGGGTCACCTGGCTAGAGTGCCTGCAGGGCTCCCTTCCTCTTCTTCCTCACATACCAGAGAGGTAAGGACCTGCATCCCCCTCCACACAAGGAACTCAACTGGTGCTTCTCTCTGCAGGCAAAAGAGTGGACTGACTCCAGAAGAGAGGGCATGGCGCCGGAGGGAGCAGCGTTGCAAAAGGAGGGGCTCTTTGGGGGCAGAGCAACGGGACTGGCCAGGAGCAGGGGCTCCAACTTGCCAAAGCTGTAGAGAAGGTATTGCCTGCATTGCA